TACTGTAGTTATGATGGTTATCTTGGATGACATATGATTATGCCAAACAAGCTGGAAAGAGGTCATGTAAGGAACATTTCCACTAAAATTCAGCTAAATCTGACTCACAGTTTCAAACTTGGTGCTCAAGATTTTTCTATTCTTATTAACAGCAGCTACCTTGGATGTACAGTACTATTTTGTTACAATATTTATGCAAATGTACTTACCCGCAGTGTAGTGACAATTCACGGAGAGCCACGCAAGTATCTTCCTTCTCCTCCAAAAAGGCATTTTCCACTGAGTACCCAGCTACATCCTCCTCTTCCCCTTCTTCATTACCTAACAAGTCAACCTCTCCCTCTTCTTCTTCCTCTGATTCACTCAATCCCTCAATTGTTGCTGGTAGCACACTTTCATCATCTTTAAAGTGTGTCTGTGGGGCAAGACGACTTAAGTCAGCCAAGAATAACTTCATCAGGAATCATCATATTCATGATTCATTATCTTTAAAATACTGTAGTACAAATCACGAAATCTGGCACCCTTTAGACCCAGTATATGCTGTTTGAAATTTTATCTCAAAAAGAAGAATCAAGACAATGGTCTTGAGGATTTACTTAACACACTGATCTGTTTCCTTCTATTAAACAAGCAATTATTATTGCTCTGACACTACCCACAATAACATGCACAGTGAAGAGATCTTTCAGCACAATGAAAAGGGTAAAAACCTGGTCAAGATCAACAATAGTAGAAGATCACTTATCTAGCCCATGCACGTTGAGTGTTGAGCAAAGATTTGTAAGAATAAGCAAGAACTTCTTCACAGTAGCTCTTGGGAAGTACAAGAAACATAAAAATTATGTAAAGAAGGTGTCAATTTTACTTTACACTTCCTTATTTTTCTATCAAAATTTCCATGATTTTTGTTCTATTATTTTGTATATACTAATTTTAAGTCACCAAGTTCCAATCCTAGGGCCAGATACTCAAAAGTATTTACAATAATGTATCTTCCAGCTGACTCGGTAGGTCAACCCTTGAGGCTGTAAGTCCTCTGTTGCGATACTCCAAATAAAATATCCATCATCTTGTGACGTCACATTGTATCTGAAAGCGTTAACTTACAGGATCTTTGGAGCCTTTGTAATGGAATAAACCCTGGACATAGTGTATATTTTCAGATTGCATAAACAGTATACTGTATGTCTTCCAAGCTATGATGAACCTCATTAATCATGCGTGTACCCCTCGTCTGTGACGTACACCAGGCAGGGCGCAAAACCACCTGCTTTACACACAAGAGGTTCAAAAGTGAACTGGCCACCAGTGGTACTGGTGTTTCACAAGAAACCCATTCACCTCACCATAAATGTACCCAGATGATTACTAAACTGTTAAATCACAAGTGCTGTTAGTGGAACCTCAAAAATAATGCATCATCTACTTTTCACAAGTTCAAAGTTTATTCATTTACTTATGCAATTTATTTACTTTTGTATTACTTTAACATTAAAATTCATTAAAAATATTCAAATGGGTAAGTTTCCAGCAATTCCTACTAATTTTTATATGTCCAAGGTTCTACTATATTTTGTTTATATTCACAGACACTAAATGGCAGATAATACATACCACAACACCATCAGTACTTCTCAGGGAGAGCATCATGCGTTCCATGATCTTGGGCAAATGTGGGGACATGTCTGCCTTCATTACAGATGCCAAGGATGCAAATAAAAGGTAACATGTTTTGCGTACATCCGGGTCATCCTTGCGTTCCATCAAACCCAAGCCCAGTGTCACACAATCTGGTGCATATACTGTAAAGTTTTCTACTCCCATACATCTTGCTAACTGACCCAGAGTGTCTGAAACAAAATAAAGATTCATACAGTAATGTGACCAGAAAATTTCATCATGGTAACAGCTTGCCTTCCTAAACAGGAACCAACAACAATACCAAAATAATAAATGAATTAACATGTAAATGTTACCATCCATTCTTATGGTCACCATTCTCTCAAATGAGAAGATTAGTTTAATAAATGTATTTTTCAAGATAAAAAGACTTGAGGATTAGCATAGAACATAATGAAAGCCATCCTGACAACCCTCCTAGGTCTTCCTCTTATATAATGAAATTTGGAAAATGTCTTCATCTACAGTAAGTTATATGGTTCCCATACATACTGGCATGTACTGATGTGTGTATTGGCAAGAAGTTGGAAAAGACCATGCAAAATGTAGCATACAGCACACTGGACATGCAAAGAGGAGTACTGTACTGTATATCACTTACCAATGGATTGCACCTGTAATGTCATGGTTTCTTCAGACTGATCAACGGTGAGATAACCCTTCAACATCTCTACAATCTGCTGGAAGTAAGGGGCCATGTGTTCCTTGGCTGCATTGGCTGCAGAGAAAATTAATTAAACTTATTAGTGAATGACAATAAAAATAAAGAGTAGAAGTATGAAAATCTATTTAGAGCCTAAGGGATGAGAAGAGTGACCTGTAAGCTGTACTATCAAAAGAGCCATGTGAGAAATTTACCTTGCTTGGAAACATACTCTGTACTATTGATCTGCAGGATAATGAATATGTTCTATTCAGTTACTCACCCAGCTGTAACAGGGCCTGAAGTCCTGTATATGTACAGGTAGTTATTAACACTAGACTGCATTATCAAATCTTTCTTATTTTGGTGTCAGTCTTGTATAATAACCTAAGCAACACAGATCTTAATGTTATACATGAGGCACCTAGAATGGGAGTGGCATAAGCGCCAAAATCAAGATTTGGAGATATGGCCACAGGCATCTTCATTGGCCTTTGTTCTACATCATCAAGCCTGACAGTGTCGCTAATGCCACCACAAGGTCGGGAATTCCATTAGAAGAGCATGTAACTAATATACCCAGTTTCGTGAAAATTGGGTGATATTTATTGATTTTTTTTGAGAGCTTTTGAGGGATGTGGCATATAGGGCTCAATTCAATTTTCCTGAGCACCATCATATCTACGGTCCAACTTTCTGGAAAATTTAATTGAAATCCATGATATATATATATATATATATATATATATATATATATATATATATATATATATATATATATATATATATATATATATATATATATATATATATATATATATATATGTGTGTGTATATATATATACATATATATATATATACTCTATACATATATATATATATATATATATATATATATATACATATATATATATATATATATATATATATATATACTTATATATATATATATATATATATATATATATATATATATATATATATATATATATATATATATATATATATATATATATATATATATATATATATATATATGCAAGTAAATCACTGTAAGTGCGCATGATCTAGGTATATGCTGATAACCACAAGTTAAGAAGAAAACACGGAGTTCCCAAGCGCTTTCATGTAATTCACATTTTCAGGGGTGAGTACAGACTAAAGAGAAGTACAAAACAAGGTGTACATATACAGAGGAGGGTGAGACCAGGTCCACAATGGTCAGGTATTAGGTAATGACCCTACTAATCTTTAAATAGCACCGCAACAGTCGGTAGTCAGGTCAGAGGGTAAGGTGACCCAACCTTCTCACCTGGTTACAAATCTTCTTAATTACAAAATTGTCCAGTTTGTACATGCCATTACTCAAATTCATGTTGAATGCTTCGGTATGTTTAATGAGACAAGATTCTATGATGTTCCTACTATCAATTGAATTACAAGGTAATATTGAGGAGGCATTATCCCATTCAATGCAATGCTTGTTATCCCTCAAATGAACAAACAGAGCATTGGATTCCTGGCCTGTCCTAACACTATATTTATGTTGTTTAAGTCTAGTTACAAGATCTTTACCTGTCTGGCCTGTGGACCTGGTCTCACCCTCCTCTGTATATATACACCTAGTTTTGTACTTCTCTTTAGTCTGTACTCATCCCTGAAGATGTGAATTACACGAAAGCGCTTGGGAACTTCATGTTTTCTTCTTTCCTTGTGGTTATCAGCATATATATATATATATATATATATATATATATATATATATATATGCTTCTTATGTAATAATAATAATATGTATGTATATGTATGTAACAACAACAACAATATAACAATAATATGTAGCATATGTATATATATGTATAATATGTATGTATAATATGTATGTATATGTAATAATAACAATAATAATATATGAGGTATTCAGTTATGGTAAAATAGATAAAATCTTCAAGATTACTTAAATCATTGTTACCACTTGAATAATTGCTGTTTTTGAAAGCTATACTGTCTATATTATCAATAAAAAACAAAATAACATGAATAAAATTAAATCTGTAAGACATTTACCAGTAGCACCAATTGCACTAATAGCCAGCTCCTTCATATGGACAGAGGTAGGAGCAGCCAGCACAGCAAATAGCCTCTCCATCAAGGCTGGTAGGTGAGGCAGAAGTTCAGACTCCAAGTTCTCACAAAACACTTCCAAGGCATAGAACATGCGATCTACACCAGGTGGATCACTGCCTCCACTGCCAACAACTACACAAGTCTGCAAATAATACTCTTGATAAAAGCTATGGATAATGGCAAGAGGTATATTAAAGTATTAAACAGTCATCTGATCATCAACACTATCAGGTTCACTTAAGAAGTGAAAAAAGTGACTGTCTCTTGTTTGTGGGTGTCCCCACTCCATAAAGCCATACTTTAAAGACCCAGCCAGTTTTTCCTAGTTCTCCAACCTAAAAATAATTCTTCTACAATACATGTGTTCATAGTGCAATTTGGTTATAATCCAAAGAAAGTATAATAGTATTAGGGAACACATTTTCTATAATGCAGATGCAATTTGGATATACTGTACTTGTAATGTGCATGAGTAAACGAACTATGTCGCTAAAGTAGGAATTATCAGTTATGTGGGCACCTCGGCACAGCATCACACAAGGTGGGTTGCGCCACTCCCGCAATGACAATGCAAACACTTTTCCAAACCCATTGTATGTTTGGAAAATTATGATGCACTGAAGAACTATAGAGTATTAACCCATAACAAGCATAATATTGTCTGTAAACAGCTGATTAACTAGAAGTTAATTTCACATGGAACAAAGGCAAACCTGAGTGAGATATTCAAACAGAACAGGAAGAAGCTCTGCATGGTACTTGCTGATGTCAGGTTGAAGATGTTCAGCGAACTGACCCAAAGCAAACAAGGCACCATTACGCACCAACTGAAATCCACAAATATATGGGGTTACATGATGGATTGGATGTCAGTTCAAGAACACACGGATCAGGTTAAACATTGTATGGGATATATATAGGTTACAAAGTGTATCTGTGTGCCTGAGAATGAGAAGAGGAGCGAGGGAGGTTTTAGGAAGACTGCACTAAAAGGTTCAATGTGAGATATAGGGTTAAAGTACCTGTAATGGAAAATTTTGATAGAAGAATGGATGTTAAGAGAATGTGGGTAAACCTGCAGTGTTAGAAACAAATGGAAATGGAATCAGACAGATAGAAAAATGTAGTGAGACGAGTGTAAGACAATTTGGTACAAGTTAGAACAGTAATGAACAAAATGTTCAGAGCCTAATAAAAAATTGAAAAGGTGGTGGTGAGCTGATGAAAGTAAAATGTGGCTAACAACTATGAAGTTTAACCTAATGAGAAATAGATATCTATTTGATCATAAATGAAAACCACAATGAACAGAACATTCTAGCAGAAGACGACTATGGAACTGAACAAGGATATGAAAGCTGGTTGAGATAAAGGAAGTGAATGTGGCCAAAAGGTTTGCTGGAACAATAAAGCAAAAATGGATACACATATGAGGATGGTGTGGGAGTGGTTGAAGAACAGGAACAGTTTAAAATGGCAATTCTAAGTGGTGTAGGTGTGGTGTGGAGTATAAAAAGAAATTATATTTTTCTTTCACTCTTACACTAATTTTTCTCGTTTTGATACAACGTGCTTAGAATCACTCCATTCAGGGTATGACTTGACTTTATTCCTAGCCAGGCATCAGACAAAAGATTAATCACCCCAGTAATAAGGCATAGCAGCTACATTACTGGAGAGCTTCAAACCTAAGGTGAAAAGTCCCCAACAGATCTTCCATCTTTATTACCGACTCAATATTTCTTCACAATCCCTTTCACTTCCCAATCAACTCTTGCATTTAAATCTTTCATTACTATCTCTTATTGCAGGTAAACTGGATTTCCAAAAATTTCTCTTTCCTCCATACTGTTCTCACTCCATGATATACATTAACTCATTGTAACCCACTTTAAACAACTACCGTAAATTGTGGCGTATAAGTCGACCTCAAGATTTTTAGTTCAAAATTCAGGTTTAGTTCTATATTTGCCATATAAGTCAACCCCCCCCCCCCCAAGGCCCAAACATAGGCAATGTGTAATAAGGCCACACAACTTCCATCAAGACACTTACCATAATACCTTTCAAAATTATATATATATATATATATATATATATATATATATATATATACACCTAAACCCCGACTTACGACGGGGTTAGGGACCCAAATCCAGGTCGTAAGTCCGATATAGATAAAAAAAAAAAAAATTTTAATAAAAAATCTACAATGAAATACAGTACAGTAAAAGTAATGAATAATGATGAATGGATACAGTACAGTGAAAGTAATAAATAATAAGGAATGGATACAGTGTGACTGAGCACTTAACCTTTAATGTAGTCAGCTGAATGCACATGGGGCCCCCATAATTTTCTAATTATACATGGAGACTACATTAACTGGAAACGTTTCGGTATAGAAAATGCGTGTGTCATTTAAAAAAAAAATTTTTTTATTATTTTTTTTTTATAATCTATATACGGTCGTAAGTCCACGTAGTCGTAAGTCGGGGTCTAGGTGTATATATATATATTTCTTACAAAAGGGAAGTGGGCAGCACCTCCAATAAAATAGTAGTTGTTTACACAGCATACCAGTATAGCACCTTGATAGTACAATCTATAAACGGTATGATAGTAGAACATTATGGTATCATTAAACTGTCATTACCCCAGTAGTGTATGTGAACTCACAATCTATAGCGCTATCATAAAATTGCACAGATTTCACCCATACCGAGTAGTTGTCTGGCTGGCCGCCTGGAATTAGTGGCGTCCTGATCGATTGTTTACTGTCCATCAGCTGTTGAAAATGGCGTGTGGTGTTGTGTTCGTTTAATTATACTGGAATTTACTACAGTTGAACCTCGATTTACGCGGTTCTCGTTTACACGTTTGGTCATTTACGCGATACCTTGCCAGAACCGGGATACCCGATTTACGCGGTGAATTTACTCATTTACACGGGTGAAGTATAATTTGTTGATTAACTGAAGATATTTGTTTTAGCTCATAAAATTCATACAAATTACCCAGCCAGAATATAATTTACATTGCTGGAATTCTTATAAGATTGTGATTATTTTAAATATAAACATCATGGAATTTACATTAGACATACAAATTTTAGATCTAATGTAAGAATTTTGATTACAAAGAGCCAAAATTTTATCTTTTGTGCAAAATATATGACGTTTATATTCAAAATATTCCTGGTCTTGCAAGGAATCCAGCAATGTCAATTATATTATTCTAACTTTAGTCTGAGGTATTATTTATTACTATTCCTTAAAATCTAGTGTTTTTACCCAAACATTTCTCAGAGAGGGAGGAGCCAGCAAGCGTGGGAAGATGGGGGGTGGGGGGGAGAAGTTGAGTCTATTATTTGAATGGACATTAACCTGGCAACTGTATTTCTCTTAAATATTAATTGTGTGTGCATACCATCATAAGATTAAGGTGTTATTTTTACTACAACGTAGGTATTGTGTCGGAAAAAGTGGAGTTTGGGAGTCGGCCCAGTCTCTATTTCAATTAATCCTCTATGTTCTGTTATTCCATTTACGCGTTTCTCGTTTTACGCGCTACTCCGCGGGTTCAATTGGCCGCGTAAATCGGGGGACCTTTGTACGTATTTTATTATAATCTCTATGTTAAATAAGTTTACCAAACATGAATTTCAGTAGGAAATATTAGCAGCAGGCCACTGGAGTTACGCTAAATGAAACACAGCGAGTGTTAGACAGGCTGCTCCACTTGTTTACCACTATGTGGTACAGCTTCACATTTTATACTCGGAGTATAAGTCGACCTCTGGTTTTGGAGAGATTTTTTCAAGGTTAAAATGTCGACTTATACGCCGCAATTTACGGTATATTCATTTCATAATAATCTGGGACGACACCCCCTATATTCCGTCACACAACTTCACATTTCACTACATCTACACTGAATACATTCTTTACATCCACATTTGCCTCCAGCTCATCTCTTCTTTGTTCTTCAGCTTTGTTTCACACAAAACCAGGATATCCAGGTTCCACCATCTTACCATTTTTGATTAGTTAAACAAACATCCACACACACACAATTTTTTTATAACTGAATAAAAGACGGGAGGGAGTCAACCCCTAAACAAGTAGCCTGTTCCCCCTCATGTACCTATATTGCAATTGATGAAGTTTAGTTAAAGTAAATTAAGATAAGACATAGGAATTTTTTATACACACTTTTATTTAAATATGCAAACAAAAAATAGCATAATTTGTTACAATCACATAATATACTTAAATAGCATATTCAGTCAATCATGCAACTCCTTTTAAGTTAAGATTAACTTAAACTTTAAGGCATTCTAATAATTGTTCCCTCACAAGATTCACAGATAAAAGGTGAAATGCAAGACATACCTGGTTTTCATTTGTGATGCCAAGACAGATGCACTGCAGAAATGGATGAAGGTGCTTGTTGCGAAGTGTGTCTGCACACCCCTCTGCTACCATGGCTAATGCTAGGTAGGCTCCCTTCACCTACCATCAAGATTTTTTTTTACTTCAATATTCAGTTCAAATACTAAATAGTAATAAAGAGAATAATCAATTAATAATTTTTTTTGTCTAACTGAAGTGGAAACGCTTGAGAAAAGTCAACCATGCACACTTGCTAAATGTGTAAAATATATGAAACTCGAATCTTTTAATTAAATTAATTCTCATAAGGAAAATTTATGGAGTTCTTCTCCAAGAGGCTGTAAAATTACAGTACTTTTATATTAATGAAATTAACAGAAAAAATGCAAATTTAAATAAAAATTTCGGAAGCTTAATATAATCTCTAAGCTACTCATTCCCACAGACTATAACTCTGGACAAATAAAGAAAATCAAAATTCAAAGAATATTCATATACCAGGATCACTGAGAAATTTAATAGCGAATAACTTTTTCCTTTTACAATATCTTGCTCCCACAGTTTTATACAAACAAAGATTAACGAATATTGGATTCATAAGTTTCAAAACATCCACCAAAGATAATACTGTACCTTGTGAGGGTTACCACTTTTCAATGCTGGCTCTACATGGCACATCAGACAAGGCAATAGCTTATCTGGGGGTAGGTGCAGAGCACATGCATCAAGTGTTTGGGCTGCAGCATGCATAGGGCTCCCACCCTCACCCTCTTCTCCACCCAGAAATCCAAGGCATGAGTCATCTTCATTTTCACTGCAGGCCACACCAAACATCACAGACACCAAAGGATCCACAAGTTTGTTCTTCAATATGTACTGAAATTAATAAAATTGTATTACTGAAAAGCACATACAGTAATACATACCTCGATACATTGGACGAATTGGGCCAGTAATAAATGAATTGTAACAAATATATTCTGCATAATAATTAATTTAAGAGGAATAAAAGAAAATAATAGTTTTGACAATTATTAATGTAAAGTACAGTACCGTACTTCTTTAAATAAAAACAGTACATGATTCACAGTACAGGGGGTCCTCATTACCCACGGTTAATTGGGACTGGAAAAACGTCTCTGATAACAAATCCAATTAATCCCATGAGAAATAATGGAAATGGGACCATGACATTGCACACGACACTCAAAAATATTTTATTTATCTTTTAACAATTATTTACCTTAGAAACATTTGTTTAACATTTGATAACACATCATTTAAAGAAATTATTTAACTTTATAAGTCATCTAAGTTCATTGGGGTCGGTGTTGAGGCAACGTAGGTTGTGACAGCGACTCAGTGGTCGCTAATGCACACTCACTCCGGTGGTTTATTGAGACAAAATACTTATAATATTTTTAAAATAAATAATTTTAACAATGAAATATTTGTATTTACTTAGTTTCAAAGGTAGAGATATTTGGCTTGATTGGATTGATGGAGGTGGGTATTGGGGGATGGAGAATTAGTCGGAGGATGAAAAAGAAACAGGACAAGGTGGACTGATCACTCCCACTCTTCTTTCACCTAATCACCTCTAATTTTACATCTTTACTATAGCTAGTGTGCTTCCTTTTGAGCGCTGCACCACCTTGTTTGGGTTGGGAACTCATGGCTACAAAAATGATAATATAATTCACCACAAAATGCACGAAAAGATGCAACAAAGGCAGGAGTAAACACAACATAATACTGGTCTGGACAAAAATTAAAGCAGGGGACTGGTGCGTGGACACGTGTGTGCATGCATGACACCAGGAAGAGGATGAAACATCAAACGATTCAGCTAAAACTACGTAGATTTTGTCGGGCGTTTTAAATCCGAAGACTTTATCCATAGTTTTTGAGTGGTTTTGAATGGAATCCACTTAAATGTGGGGACTTTCTTGGTGAATGGTCACAAAAAGTGGACCACTTAACTGCAAAACTGTAGATAGTGAATACTCTTATAATGAGGACCTCCTGTGCTGTGCTTACTTTCCATTCATTCTTACCTTCTTTTTTAGCCTAGTTATGTATCCCAGGAAAGTGATGGCTTTCACACGAACTGTCTCGCCAAGCGATGTATTTCCACTTATATCTAAACACAACTGGATGACAGGACGAAGGTGTGGAACCAACAATGCAACCTAAAAAAATACAAGATCAATTTACACACACATCAAAGGGTAGCATCAACATGTCAGCCAGGTGCATGGCATCAGGGTAGGTGGGGGAGTACTGCTCAATTGTTTTTGCTTTTTTATTCTTGTGGTGTACTCTTTAGTGTTTTTATACACTACTGTATAATAATGAAAATAATTAAGTATAGCATATACCCTGTACTTATTTTTTTTATTATACTTGAACTGCACATTATTAATTTTGATCTTAGGTATGTCTCTCATGGGTCACTTCCCTAGCCCCACATTTCTCATTAAATCCTGTCCTTGCTAACAATGGATAGTTCTAGAACATATACTCCACAATTAATGAGGGACTATTGTATTATACCAAAGAGCAAGACACACTTCCTTTATGTGGCACGTGTACACTAAGTCTCGTCGGGGGCCAGGGGCTACATCACAGACATGAGAGTCACAGTTCATGAATTTGTGAAAACTGGGAAACAATTGAAGACCATGACACAGTGCTTGAATGATCAAACTATGGCATTTTCTGAATGCCTACCTGTACTGTATTACTAAAACTGCATTGGTAGATAGCACAAACCAGAAAACAAAGCTCATACTCACTTATATGATATAAGCAGTATTGAATACAAGATAGCAAATGCAGAATATCTGCCAAACAATCAGCAACTAAACTGTCTTTTAATACCTCACATTCTGCAAGAACATCAAACAATTCCATGGCTTCAGCTGCTTGGTCCTCATCTTGGGTCAGTAATGCCTTTATTGCTTCTAGCACTTTTGGCAGGAGGGCCTGGAACTCAGTCTGAAGTGCAATGATAATTTTTTTATTTAATATACACCCATTTGTAATACCTCTTCTAGACAACTTATGGCTTGTGCAAACACTTTTTCTCATTATAAAAATCTTTAACATTCATTATCAGTGGGATTATCTAAATACTAAACTTACATATTATCAGGGATATCTCAAGTTATATTCCTCCACTCTTTAAGCATACTGTACTGTACCGGGTGTACCCAGGTAGCAATACTGTAATGATTTCTATTTGTCACTATGAACAGGGCAAATCTCTGAATATATTCATAATCTTACCATATTATCTTGGTCCACTAAAGGTGCAAAGTTGGTTAAAGCCTGAATGGTGTGGAAGGCTGTCGGGGAAGCAGTATCATCCAGGGTGGCAGAGAAAAGATGGAGGAGATGGCGCAAGTGAGGCAGGAGTTGATCACCTGCTACACCACTCACCACACTAACTACATAAACACCAAGCTGAAATAAATCACTTCTTATAATCTTAAAACATTAGAAGAGCATTTTATTTCAGGAACATACTCTATTAATCATAGAGGACGTCCAAATTAATGACGATCAAAAAAGGTGATCATCCCAAGCTTTTATAAGCTGGGGACAAAATGTAAACTTTCATCATTACCAAAGAGTAAACACTTCTTTCAGGAAGTATGGCACCTTCACTTCATTTTCTTTTTATTAATAAATTTAGTAGTATTATTCCTTTACGGTACATGTAAGAATGGAAAATGTCTCCAAAAATCATATGCAACGAATTATCCTATATTAACATGAAATTATTCTACATTACACACACAAGAACCACCAGTAACACTTACTTGTCTCTCCTGTATATTTTGTGATTGTACCATTTGTTGAATAAATTGTAAGAGAGCTGGCCAGTTTCCTGCCTGTAACTCGTGGCGTGCAATCACACCCACAAACTGGGCAATAGCATTCCGTACACTGTTTTCTGGTTCACGTACTAGGGCTTGCAACACACCCTCTTTAATACTGAAACAAATTAATTAAAATATGATTACCTTAATATTAAAAATGAGGTAAGATCTTAGCAAAAGTGACAGTAGTTGATCAACCAGAACACAGCAGTAAATGATGACATTCCAGACAGTGCCAGTTAGTGGATGAAATGCAATAATGGCATCCCTGAGGGGATGTACCTCAAAAAAGTATCTGCCAGGATGGGTCCGATGACTTCCGAAATGCGATATGCAGCTTGTGATGTCCCGTGAGGGTTGGTATGTGTTGCTCTGTGGCTTACTGAACCTACTACATTTGCAAACCGAACATTATATTAATTACGCCAAAATAAATACACAATGCATTACTTACATTAAACCATATACCCAAGTAAATGCATGTCCCAATATCTATCATCTATTGTCTCATAATGTTTTACACAGTGTGGACAGATACCTTAAGAGATACTGTACAAAGTAGTAAGAATAAAATATATTACTTTTTGTTATTTCAAAAGATATCAAATGTTAGGGGGAGAAATATACTAGTATCTTGCTGTTTACAAATATATCATTAATCTATAAACACTGCTGCTATAAAGTTATTAATCAGGCCTCACTAGTACAGTGATCACTCGGTTAACGAACGACTCGGTTAACGAATTACCTTCCATAAGAATCTTCAATTTGGTTAACGAAATTTTTACGAAATCATGTCAAAATGTTTTCGCTTGCTCACCAGCTGGAATATTAGTCCGCCAATACAGTTATCGGTTCTAGGGCTTAAATTCATTCCCATTTGAGTAAATATCAAGAAGGTTGTACTATTCAATAATTTTCCAAGTTTTATATTAAATTTTTTAGTCATTTTAACACTTATTTAACATAATTGGAGTACAGGAAACTAGTTTTTGGTGCGCCCAACAGCCACTTGACTCATCCACAAAGGCGTCATTTTGTATCTCTGGTCAGTGGAGGTAACATCTTGCTTGTGGCTCTCTTGAACATAAACTATTTTTACATTTTTACAGTACAATTATTGGTCACTCTGAAATTTATTTTACATATTGACAATATATAGTGCAGTGCAGTGTTGATTTAAAGAAAATAATCTTGAATTACACCTAGTGAACTTAAAATTTTATGGGTGAAATGACGGCATGAAGCATGGGGTGATTTCTCTTCCACCCCCACTTCCTTCTCTTCTCCCTTCTCCTCCACCCCCACTTCTAATTCCCATCATCATCAACCAGGAGCCTTCTACATACACACCTCAAAGTAAGTGTACTTTACTGCATTTATTTTTACTTTGTATGTAATTTTCGGTGAGCTGGAACCAATTACCCCAAATCCCATTGAAACAATGGTTTCGGTTAACGAACGACCTTCTGGAAGGAATTGTGTTCGTTAACATAGGGACCACTGTACTCATATTAGGTTTGAATCTCATTTCATGATAAGAGCACCACTTTGTACTTCAGATATTATCAACAATATTTTCAATTCATTTTGTACAGAAATATGGCTATTAATACTCATTCGCAACTCTTTGTAGTATACTGTAGAAAACAATAAGTAATCAGTTATTGAAAAATAGTGAATTATTGAACCATTAATAATTACAAGCCTGATACAGTAGTTGCAAATATGTCTTGGGGTGGGCAAAGACGCCACCCAAAATTTTTTTTTCCAATAGTCAATTTCATTGCTACCTTAAAATATATAATATTGACTTTGATTAATATTTATCTATGGCTAATTGAATGCAGTACTGAGGCTTCCAATACAGATTTTAACATCACCTCCCTAAAATAGTTACATTAAGTACCGTATTATTAAATTATGCAATTATTTAGAAGTCACAATTACCCATTCTTAACATCAGCTTCAAGTTTGGTCCAGTGCCGTGCCTTGCCAAGTCGCTTACGTAGGATAACTGCTGCATACTGCCTTACTTGAGAAGCTGAGGATGTTCCCATTACCTGACACAACTCTCCAACCACTCCTGGATTTTTGAGAGCCTCTCCCAGTTCTCTCGTTCCCTAAAAAACAGAAATAAACATTATTTAAATTTTTTATATGGCTTTAATTATGGTAAATATGAGTACCGGTAACTACCTGTGTAGGTGGGGAACTGGGATTAGCCTGTGGTTAAAGGAAGAGGTAATAAAGTTAGTATGTCTAATCTAATACTACAGTTTTCTATTTTGTAAAGGAAGACAAAATGAATGCTGCATTAGGGGCATTGGTAATATAGCAGTTACACGCATGACTCTCACTTGTGACACTGGTTCGAATCCTGGCCTGGACAAATGTGGGAAAGAGTGTTATCCAGTGGAAAGCTACCAACTTCCTGTACAGTACAGTACTAACACTGGACAATAAAGTTCATAACAAAGTACCATAATCCAGACCAACTGCCCGAACAGCTAGTATGCAGATATATTGTGAATTAAAAATCACCCAGCAGTTACAGCTATCGACAAAATGTTTTGGTTGGATCACTGCACACCAGTAGTTACATGTGATCTTCCAATGCTGGGAGGAAAACTTTGTGAAAATCATGTACAGTAATAATTTTTAGCTTGGTTCAGTCTAGTAATGACATATTACTGTATACTGTACTATGTAGCAGTATCTAAAGGCACTCGTGATTTTACACCAATTAAATATAATATTACCAGTAAGAATTAAGTTTTCATTAATAGAATATTGTCTTATACTACTGTAATTGCTCCTTTCACAAAATACAGTGTTCAAGACAATTATTTGGATAAGTATGGTAGTGTATAGTAAATAGTGGGTAAAGATTCAATAGACTACATAGCTATTCAGAAATTACTAATGAAAATACCCAGTAAGTTTTTCTTATGTATTTGATGGTGATTTAAAAGAATATGAACTTTATTTTCAGCGCTAATGTATAATTCTGGAGATACGAAAATGGATTTTCATGGGGTGGGCAGGATTTTGAAGACGATTGAAAATGTGGGGTTAAAATAATAAAAAAAATAGCAATCAAACCTTTGGCAACCTGAGCTAACCTTTCCAAAGGTAAAATAAGTCTTAAGACCTATTTACAAAAATATAACTTATTTAACCGAAGGATGATGATAAAGTGAACCCAATTGTAACAGGGAGTGAGTGATGCAGAAGAATTGTGTTGTGGTCATTGTCAGGGGGACCAGAACCAGTGAAAAAGTGCTAGTCAGGAAAAAAGAAGCTAAATTTTACATTCAGGAGAAATTGATTCATTTATTGTATATCAAAATTGGTATTATGAATTCACTGGTTATTTTTATTTATCTTCTGGATTGTGATTTTCTTCACGACAAAAATAAATTAAAATACACAACTGAAAACCCCCAAATTGTTAAATCTGGTTACCCAGGTCATTGCCATGAGTAGATAAACATGCTTGGTTTTATACAAAACTCACAAAAACAAGCAAAAATAGTTTAATGCTCCCCCATCAATTAAATACATAAATAAGGCAAACTTTTATAATAAAGTCTTATTTTACATAAGGAAGGGTTAGGTCAAGTTACTGAAGGTTTGATTAAGAGTTATTTTAATGTGTTTTAACCCCACATTTTCCCTATCTTCAAAGCCCTTCCCACTTTGTGAATACTGTACCACTGTTGTATCTCCAAAAATATACATCAGGACCAAAAAGAAAGGTCATATTCTTTTAAATCATCACCTAATACATATGGAATACCCTTTTTTTGTAATTCCCGATTATGTAGTCTACTGAAACTTTACCAATAATAAACTGTACTGTACTACAGTATTTAAAATTTCATGCAAGTTAAGATGGACTATTATAGATAGATCCAGATAATTACTAATATCTGAGATTTTCATAACTACTATACAGACATAACCTGAGCTAATCTATGTACACTTTACAGTACTCCTGCAGTTCTATGGGTGATCATTATTGGCAGTCATCTGGAATTTGCTTTTGACAACTCATAAAATGATTTTCAGCATTATTCCAAATTTGTGTTAAAAGTTTTGAAAAAAATATTACAGGCATGGATGGTGTAGCACATCTTCACCAAGCAGTATAAGACAACACCTTATATTCAAGTAACAGGTGCAGTCAAAAGTATGGTCATTGTGTTGCTGGTGCAACATAGCAACAGCCGCCCAGCCCAGTCAACACAACCAAGACAAACTTGCTACATACATAAAAAAATATATATTTGCCAATCAGTCATTGTAAATCCAATTAAAATCGCAGATAATGTATACAGTGCAAATATATATATATATATAATTTGTGGGTGACAACGAACAGGTCTAGCAGCTCCACTAGCCAGCACGTTGGTCTTCCACCACGTGAAAATCCACCCATCCCCGGCGGCCGCGCCTTTTGTTTACCCACAAAACAATGTAAATGTGAAGTGAATCTATGTGGCATTTCATGTGTTCAATGGTTGACCATCTCATGAAGCTGTATATCTGTTTGTGAATACTTACCTCCTGTATGACAGCATTATCCGCTACAAGAAGTTTGTTTAGTATTTCTGGGAGCGTCGGGGCCATGGTGGTGGAGTGGCTGCCTGACATCTGACGGCCGAGGCAGGATGCACACCCACACGCCCGCCAGTTTTAAACACCAAACCGTGGAATGAATTCTGGTTTGGATATTATTTGTATTAATATTTATAATTTTCAGCACTTATCAGCTTACTTGCCGTTCGGGCGATTGGTCTATCCAGTATCAGTTCTGTACATGAGGAAACCGGAGGTCGTAAAACCTTTTATCTAGATCAGGGTGGTAATATCGACAATATTTACCTAGAATTTGCCAAGGCTTTTGACAGTCTGGTCTTGAAAGAGCTCACACTCGGTGCCGTCACCACACTCTCTGGTAGATTGTTCCAAAAGTTCACAACTCTCACTCCGAAAAACCTTGCCCTCACAGTTTTCTGGACCTGAGAGATTGGAGCTCCTGAACTTGCCTAGCTTATACTACAGACGGGCAAGGGGCGACCGAATTGAGGTGTACAAGTATCTCAAGGGGCACTACTCAGTCGGGTGTCCTTACTTGGAGCTGGTGGACGCTCGCCCCACAAGGGGTCACAGCTCAAGATTGAAGAAGCCGCAGGTCCAGAAAACAGTGAGGGCAAACTTTTTCGGAGTGAGAGTTGTGAACTTTTGGAACAATCTACCAGAGAGTGTGGTGACGGCACCGAGTGTGAACTCTTTCAAGACTAGACTTGACCAACACTGAAGCAGGTTCAGATACATTCATGAGCCAGTGCATACCCAGTACTTGCCAACAGTGCGTAACAGAGACGTGACCGCTCGCCCAAGCGGCTAACGAGCCGATCAGTGGTGAAGAGGATAAAAGCAAAAAGTAATGTATGATAAGGTCACACTGGATAACACCTTTCTCAACTGTGTCCTGTTTTGAACTCCTGATACACGCGTTACCGCTGTGATGTGCTTGTTAATAATGTAATCGGTTTTATAGTGAGTCTTTCATTTATCAAGTAGAAAGTACTGAAAAATGATACGATATTTAGGGCTTTGAATAGAGGTAAGAAGCGAGCCTGCCCCACAAGGGTCACAGTTCATGGTTGAAGAAGCCATAAGTCCAGAAAACAGTGAGGACAAACACTTTCGGAGTGAAAATTGTGAACTCTTGTAACAATCTTCCAGAGTGTTGTGACAGCACCGAGTGTGAGCTCATTCAAGGCCAAACTTGACCAATACTGGACCAGGTTCCGATATATTCAGGAGCCACAATGCGTAACAAAGACGTGATCGACCGCACAAGCGGCTAACGAGATTAGTGGCGAAGAGGATAAAAGTAAAAGTAAAGCTAAACGTAAACAGACGTGGAACAGGTGTTATAAAGGCTAGCTTCGGTCAATTTCACTGTGCCTTCCTTAAAGCGATTCAGACAGAAGTGGGTGAGAAAATGAATTTGCAATGGCTTTGCAAAAGCCTAGAGCTAGCCCTTCAATCCCATTCCTATGACCGGTGAGGAACCTCCCTAGATACAGTAGTGACACTGTGAGCCAGAACAGAGACAAACAGGCTACAGCTGCTAGCTTGATACAATAGTGACACTGGGCCAGAGAAACATACAGGCTATTGTATAAATCAATAAAAAAATAGGTATATACAGTCATACTTCGTTTTATTTTATGAAAAAATATAGCATCACGGAATGATACGTAAAACTTCAATAGACTTTTTTGGAAAATCTATCAAGAAAAAAATAAAATTTCTAAAAGTAAGATATTTAAGGGTCCGGGAGGCGGAGGCGATTGGTTAGGTAAGTATACTGTGGGGTACGTTATGTTTGGGTTCACACTCAGGATGGTTGGAGAAAGGAAACTCACAATGTGCTCTCTGTATACATGTTATATTGGATGTACAATGCAACTTGGTGCTGGGAAGTGGCAGCGTGGATACAAGCGTGATGTAGAGAGAGCTGGTTAGTGAGGGTGCTCAGAGGAGGACAGCTTGTGGGTCGCCATGCTCGCCGGCGGGAGCGAGGGCCGCCAGGCAGCGGCGGAGGAGGAGGTGTAGCTTGCTGCGGCTGTAGCTAGAAGAAGAGAGAGGTCACCACGAGGTCAGGTCTTAAATAGCGGGGGTAGGCGTGGCTTAGTAGTTGATCTCCGTGATGTATGGCGGCGCTGGTTGACCCAGACCACGAGGCATACACTGGGGAATTCGCGGGGTCGGCTACTCAGCGACAAACAGCGTTTGTAGGGGAGAAATCCACTACAATACAATAGTTTGGTTGGTGCTATCAACCCCGTATCTCGGTTAGGGGTAATTTGAAAGAAAAGTGTCATAGAAAAAACCTAACCAAAGTACAATGCAAACCAAACCCAACTTTGAGAAACCTCAAGATTAAAAAAAATGGGGAGATTTTGTCCTACCATGCACTTTAACTGGTGGAGTATTATCTAGGGGGATTTTGTTCTTGGGGGCTCATGTCATCCCCCTACCCTCCCCCATCACAATCACTGGAAAAGGTCCAGTGAACGCCCAATCCCGATCACGATTTCTACTTCTTTTACATATACAGAAAATTTATTGCACGTTCACATTCTCTAATCATGGATTTAATTTCATGTATTTTAAACCAACATATCAAAGAAAATCCCACGAAAATATACACATCTACGTATATATTTTAACTTATCAGGGCCAGCAATGAGTGGCCACCGTGCTAATAATCCATCAATCCGCCTCTATGTGAGCACTGAACGCTGCACACCACAACAAACCGCAACACGTGCAGGGGAGAACTTAAAGCATTATGATACAAAGAATTCATTAAGATGGAACTGGAAAGTTACGATGGACAATTCAGTGATGCAGACGAGGATTCGTAAGTTCAATGGAGCGTGTTATAATGCTGTAAATGGCAGATACTAAGATGTATAGAGTAAGGTGATTGGTTACGAATGGGTTTTCTGGAGATCTAGTATTGGTCGTAAAAGCAAAGTAACAAGAAATTCTGGGATTGGTAAAAATTTAGTAGTTGCCACCACCTAATTGACTTAAATGGGTTTTTATAGTGTAAATCGTATTAAATACAAATATGACCATTGCCGTCTGAAATGAGCATTAGTTGATATTGAAAAAACTGGACGGTCAAACAATGTAAAAACCTCAACAAAACTGAAAAACCCAACCTAATCTAACCTAGGTAAATGTTCGTCCATTGGCTGTCATCAGGTTTTGGTTTGAGAATAGTTTTTTTTTTGACGTTCGGTGTTCTACTCAAATCTGACATTCCCATTTCGGTATTATTGCAGTTTCGGCCAATACACGGCTGACTGTTTTAACCATCCTCAACCTTTAGATCTTCTTATTTGGATTATTTTTAACCCCATTTCAACCAGGCAGCAAAGAATAATAATGTCAGAAATGAGTTTTAAAGTTCCCCTACTTTTGGGGGGATAACTCTATAACGGGTTCTTTACCCCAGAAATAAAGGTCAAATTCAATTAAAAAACACCAAAATACACTGGATAAACTAATTTATAAACTACTAGGGCATATTGGCCAAAACTGCAATTTTACTTTCATTTCTTTTGCAAATTATCATTTTTTGCAAAAAATGAACATTTTAATTTTTAACAGAAACTGCTAATTTGCAAAAAAAAGGGAGGTAAAATTTTAGTATATCAAAAACAAAAAAAACAAAAAACCTATTCTCATACCAAAGGAACCAACCAACCACCCTACCCTACCCTACCCTACCCTACCCTACCCTACCCTACCCTACCCTACAAGGAGGAGGAGGTGGTGGTAAGGAGACAACTGACTCTTAAGTGAGGAGTATAACCTCAGGTAAACATGGTGGGAACCTTTGGACAGCCAGTGGATGAATATTAGCCCTAACCTCACCTAACCTAGCCTATCTAACCTAAGCTCACTTAACCTAAACTAACCACTAGTGTGTAAGAAACTTACCTTAAGTAAGAGATACAAGAGGATAGAGTGATGCGACTTGAATGAGAAAGTGGTGCCTTCGTCAGTATCCGTCTCTTATCACAGTACCATGCATGCTGATCTACACAGTACTGTACTGACACTGAATTACATCTTGGACACTTTACAGATGAAACAAGAACACCGTGAGCCCTAAAAATGACAATGGCTGCTGCTTCATTGTCCAAAATGCGCTGAATAATGCGGCAGCCAGCCAATGTTCATCCATTTCACACAGACACCATCTTCCAACTAGACCCGAATGTTGATTAGCGCACGAGTATTACGTCACCTCGGCACTCACGCTGAATGGCGCGCACGACTATGACATCATATCAACGCACACTGGTTGGCCAAATATTATAAAATAAAAGTTAAAATAACTTGAAAACTATAAATTTCCGACAAAAACGTTATACTGTAGAATAAATTATTTTAAAATTTTTCTCGATCTCCCCATATATGACTCAATATTCAGTTAGGTGGTGGCAACTGCTAAATATTAACCCTGGTTATTGTTTCACTTGCTCCCACCCAAATAATTTATTTGGTATTATTTTAATTTCTGGGTATTAAGAACATAAGAATGGAGGAAACTGCAGCGGGCCTATTGGTCCATACTGGGCAGTCCCATTTACACCCAACCCCTATTGCTCATACAGTATATCCATCCAACCTATGTTTGAAGCTATCCAGCATATTCGAGTTACTGATGATATTTGATAACTTGTTCCACTCGCCCACTACTCTATTTTTAAACCAATGTTTACCTATTTCACGCCTAAATCTAAATTTGTCTAATTTAAAACCATTGTTACGAGTTCGCTCCTGGTTGGATAGTTTGAGTACCTTTGTAATGTCCCCTTTGCTCAGCCCTGACTACCATTTATACACCTCTATCATATCGCCCCTCACTCTACGCCTCTCGAAGGAGTGCAAATTAAGATGCTTTAACCTGACTCTGTACTCAAGGTTCCTAATGCCCGGGATTAGTCTTGTCATTCTCCTCTGACTTCTTTCCAAGGATTCTATATCCATTCTGTAATACGGTGACCATAATTGAACTGTGTAATCCAAGTGAGGTCTCACAAGCACAAGATATAGTTTTAGGATGACCTCGCTAGTCTTGTAACCAACACTCCTTTGTATGAACCTAAGTACTGTACTTTATTAGCCTTGTTTCGAAAAAATACACATTTTTTTCTTGGTTTAAGGTTCCTACTTATTATTAGCTTACTACCGTAGATGTTCAGGCGGTTGGTCTGCTCTTTATTACTTTGTAATGAACTTTATTGTTCAGTGTTAGTATAGGAGGAAACCAGAGTTCCCAGAGGAAACCTGCTATATTTGGTAGTGTTACACTGGATAACACCCTTACCATGTGTGTTTGGGCCAATACTCAAGACCATAATAACATAGTGAAAGAGGTATGCCTGATACCGCTGTAACACCAGTACTGAATTGTTACACTTCCTGTTTCAGGGATTGAACATTGACTTCCTTTTGGAACCTCTTTCGCAAATGTCACTAATTTGTTGTATTGTTAGGTTACAACTTTGTCACACCTTAAATAACATCCTATCATCGGTTGTCACAAAATTTGAGCTACCTTTTGTTGGGTAATACATAACCAAATGATGGTGTTGATTTCCTTAATTCCTAAGTAAAGGTAAAATAGTTGTATTTTTCCAGTGAAAGTTCGCGTCTGCCATGCCGCATATTGTCTATCACAGCATTAACAAAACTCACAGAAGAGAACTGGGATGAAAGTGATGACAACATTTCACATCAGCTCATCTGTACGCCATCAAGATTCAATGGTGATTTTGATGATTATGATCATGATGACTCTGATTATGATGAGGATGTGTACTATGTGGATGAAGATTGTAAAGGTAAATAATGAAAGCGGTGGTAAAAATTACTTAGTTACCAACTGATGTTTTCGTATCCCTCCCTGTAGTTCCTTTAGGTATCAGTTTTTCTACTACCAACTTTGCCGTGACCTTGGCTGCTTGTCAAGTGTTGCCGCACAGACCCAGCACATGGTCTTTTACTAGATTTATCAATAATGGAATTTTTAACTCTTTAATCGTTTGGAGGCTATATTTGGGATACAATATTTATTGTTTGTTTTTTATAATTACAGTATGTAGTTTATTTTTATATTTTTAAACTATTCATCCTCAGTGTTTTATGGGCATTTTCCACCCTTATGTGGGTTAGCTGTGGTTACCTTATGGCAACTGCAAGGTCTTTTGCAGTCTCTCTTGTCAGGTACCTACCTCTAATGTTGTAATTTTTTGTAACTTCTCATGTCATTTTTGGCCTACCCATCCACATTTAAACTGGCTCATGTACCTCTTTACCCAATTGATCTCATCCATTCTCTCCACATGCTTAAACAATACCCAGCCACCCTCTTAACTCTGAACAGAACCTCCTGTCTTTCAATGTCACATTCCTCATCCATTCTCATCCTCTTTAACCGCCCATGTTTCACTGTCATACAACATCACATTTCTCATATCAGCCAGATACAGTCTTCCTTTCACTCAGAGGGAAGGTTTTCTTTCCATCAATAAAGACAGCAGTTCCCTAAACTTCCTCCAGCCACTTCAGACTTTTGCAACTAAGCAGGCTTCAGCACCCCACCAGCACTGATCATGTCACCCAGGTAACTGAACTCATTAACACAGTTCAAGGACATATCCCCAGTGTTGAGTTTCTCCAGCCTTGCTGTGGGCACATGGTTACCTGCACATACAGAATACAGCTCCTCCCCGACTTAGGATGGGGTTTGGGACCCAAATCCAGATCGTAAGTCGAAATGGTCGTAAGTCGAAAGTGCTTAAATAATACATAGAAAATCTAAAATGGGTGTCTCTTTTTCTTCTCAGCACCAAAAAACTCTCACTTTTAAGCTTGCCAGCCATTTTAAAGTGAATTACAAACGAAAATTTTCTCTGTGTATTGACGTTGGGACTCGAAAATACAGTACATAATTTGAAAAAATTTGGTAAGACTGAGGCAGGTCGTAAGTGCGAGTGGTCGTAAGTCGAGTAGGTCGTAAGTCGGGGAGGAGCTGTACTTAAAGACAACAATGTTCTGCAGTCTGCCAACTACTGCACTGCGCCTCTTGTATGGCCACTTTCCACACTCGTTGCTCATTATTGAGTTGCTACAAACACCTTTCTTGCAGACCACTCATGACCATTTTCCACTTTCCACCACAGGTCCCTTACCCAATGCACCCATACCATTAATCAATACTTTTGTTTTTGCCACATTCACCCACAGGCCCTTGTCTATTCCATCTTTCCATTTTTTAAATTTCTTCACTGTCTCTTCAATACTATTTTCTGTCAGCATTAAGTCATCATCATATAATAATTTCCAGGGCAGGCCAGTCCTAAAGTCTTGAGATATTGCCTCGAGGACCATGATAGATAGAAGTGGGTTAAAGACAAACCCCTGATGGACCCCTACTTTTATCTCAAATTCCTCACTTCCCTCACTATTTACTGTCACTGAGGTTTTTGATATCTCGTATAGTGAGTGTCATAACTTCTAGCTTTCTCATTGTCCACTTTACCACTTCACATAGTACTGTACCCTGTCAAATGCCTTCTTCTAAGTCTACAATATGAAGTACATTTTTCACCTTCCTTGAATATTTATCTTGTGAAATACAAATTTGCTCACCAAGGCAACTGCTGATAGTACTGATAGTGATTACCAAGAATTCAAGCATAGTCTCCACTTCATGACTTTGGTAGGGTTTGAAGCATTTGAGCAAATGAATTAAGAGACAATTTAGTTGATTCACTGAACCTGAATTACTCACTAGACTTCAATTTAACCATTGGTTTAAATGGGATACAGTGGACCCTGATCAACTGGGGAAGAAGACAATGTGTATGAAACATTATTTAATCAATTGTTGCTAGATAATATACCTTGCCATTAAAGGATGGACCATTTTGTGTTTAGTTGTAAGTTCACATGCTTCCTCCCATTGGCCATAAAGGGAATGCCATGCTTCAAATTTTGTTTTATTACATGTTACTTATGTTGTTCAAGAAGCTTTGTTTATCAAAACACTTACAGTATCATGTTTCAGAATCAACCCTGTAATATTGATATATTAAACTTTAACAGACCTGACAAAGCAATATCATCAGAGCAACCGGACTGGACCCAATCATTCCAGCATTCAGTCACAGAAGGTTGGTTTACAGTTTGAGTTGTAAATTTTTAGATTTGTAATGTTCACTTTTCAACATCAGTCATATAAGTAAGAAATTATGAAAGATGAATGGATTATACAATATTGTGATTCATTGTACAATATGGCCTTAAGATCACGGTTACATTAAATTTCAATATTTAGTTTAATTCAAAAGAACATGTTTCTAAAATTATAAAGAGTTTAGCCTGTACTGTGATCCCCTGCAGGTACAGTATGTAACTCTACAGTTATTGAATGTTTTTTTTTTATCAAGTTTTTTCTTTCTTAAATTTTTTCATGTGTGATTAAGGTCCAGTACCTGAAGGTGCAGGAGGTTTATAATATTCATCTTAATACAGTGACCCCTCCGTTAACGAACTCAATCCGTTCCAGAAGGTCGTTCGTTAACCGAAACCATTGTTTCAATGGGTTTTTGGGTAATTGGTTCCAGCTCATCAAAAATTTCCTAAATTCAACAAAAATGGTAGAAAAGTTCACTTACTTTGAGGTGTGTATGTAGAAGGCTCCTGGATGATGATGATGATGATGGGATTTAGAATGGGGGTGGAGGAGAAGGAAGAGAAGGCATTGGGGTGGAAGAGAAGTCACCCCATGGCGCCATTTCACCCATAAAATTTTAGCTCTCTTGGTGTAATTCAAGATTATTTTCTTTAAATCAACACTGCACTGCATTATATATTGTCAATATGTAAAATATATTTCAAAATGACCAATAATTTGCTTGGAAACACAGAAAAAAAGCATTTAGTTGAAGAGAGTATCAAGCAAGATGTTACTTCCAGTGAAAACAGAGAGAGACTAACTCCTGTTTGCTGTGTTAAGAGGCTGGATGCCGCGCATTAAACTAGTCACTTTACCTTCAATTATGTTCAATAATTGTTAAAATGACTAAAAAATTGAATATTAAACTTTTAAAATTATTGAATAGTATAAACTTCTTGATATTTACTAAAATAGTAAGAAATTTAAGCCCTTGAACCGATTAATGTATTGGCGGACTGATACTAAAGCTGGTTGCCCGGTCAGTGCAAGTGAAAACATGTTGAGGTCGGTTCGTAAGAACTTCGTTAACCGAATTTTTTTTCGTTAACCAAATTGAAGTTCCTTATGGAAGGCAGTTCGTTAATCGAAATTACGTTAACCGAGGTGTTCGTTAAACGAGGGGTCACTGTATATCTTCAATACATGAAAAATCATGATGAAATGTACGGTAAGTAGTACAATACCCTGTACTGTACTGTACTGTACTGTATAGTATATCCTCTTAAGATGTTATCTGGTTATATTGTTTGAAGTGGTATATGAGAATAGTAAATAGTAAGGGAATAACTGTACAGTACTTTTATATTAGGAAGTTTTAACATTGAGGTGAATCAGAGTTGATGAAACAATAATTTGATACTGATATGTTTTCAGTGTAACAATAAATAAAAATCTTTGGTTGATGCTTATTTTCAGGTTGAGAAGTTTCAACCATCTGAGAAGTTATTCAAAAAATATGCAGGAAAGATTTGTTTGGAAAAATTTGAAGGACTTAAAGGTTTTGGTGGCAATGTTACTAACCGGATAGTGGAAACTCAACGCAGAGCTGAAAATGAAAGGTGAAATCTCATTTTTGAAAAATACATTAATTAACATGATATTTTTTAATGGAATCATGAAATATAACTAAAATTACATTCCAGGTATACGCATATACGTACAGTATATTTATCTGTGATAACTCATGTGATACACTTTTGTTACTCAAAATTTTCATTGTTACCAGACTGTTTTCTGACATAATATACTGTATCATTAAGCAAATTAAGTCATACTACGTTAGAACTTTTTTAATAATATTTTCCATTATTTTCAAGCTTAATATAATTTTATGACTTGAACAAGACATGCTATGACCCTTAGTGAATTACTTTACATAATAACCTGTTAAATGCCTTCTCTAATTTTACAAATATGAAGTACAATTTTCTTTCCTTCCTAGATATTTCACATTTAGTTGTCTGGCAGTGAATATTGCCTACCTGGCATGAATCCAAACTTCATGTCCACTTTACCAATTTCTCAATTACTTTTTTCCACAGCATTTATAACTTGATTTAACAGCATGAGGTCCCTTGTAATTCCCATGTTGAAGTGCATCACGTTTACCATTGTAAATATTCACAATCACACCCTCCCTCCAGTTGTCTGGAGCAGTACATTCCATCATTTTACAACTACAGTATTCCAGAGCTTTGAGATGCCTTTCCATTTTTCATTATGTCAATTGCTTCCTTCACTCATTCTCTTTCAATCCTTGGGCATGGTCCCTGTACTGGTTCTGCTACTCCTAAGCTGCCCCTGTCCCATTTGTACTCTTCATTCAGTCGTCAATCATGGTATTTTCTCCAAGATCCTTTAATTTCCTTTTTATGAGCACCCATATTACTATGGTCATTTCTCATGCACTGCTCACTACCAACATCCTTGTTTCTACCCTTATTTACTTGGTTATTCTGATTGCCTCACCTCTTACTTCTACACTATCCAGCATATCAGCAAATGCATCCTGTTTATGCTTCTTAGCATTGTAAACCTCTCTTCTGACCCTGCATTTGATCTCCAGGTACTCCTTGTCACCACCCACAATCCAGGCCTTATACAATCTTTTCTCCTTTATCATTCTTCTTACTTCATCGTTTCACCACCATGTTACTGTATGTCTGGCTGGGTCCATTTGTCCATCCACACATCTTATCATCTGCACTCAGCAGACCATCCTTTATTTTGGCTCAATATCTTGTTAACTACCCCTTACATTGTCACTGGCTGTTTCCACACTTCTCAGCTCAGCATAAAATGGTTCTCTTACATTTTGTTCCTTCAATTTCCACACCTTCCTTCTTGGATCAAACACCTTCCCATCTTCCATTCTTTGCAGCATACATTTTTCCTCTTCTAAATTATTTCTCTCCTTTTTTAACCTATTTTGTATTAACTATCATTTACCTTCAAGAAGTTTCATTGATAGGTGCATGTCATTTATTGAAATAATGGCATTGGAAAGTTTCTTAATAGATGTATCCAATTACAGGCAAAGAGTCCGTGACAAATCAGAGAGAGCAACAGTGGAGCAAGTGCTTGACCCACGAACTCGGATGATTCTTTTTAAATTTCTCAACAAAGGAACTATCACAGAGGTAATCCTTGTATACTGTATATTAAGTTGTGGCCTAATAATTTTAAGACTGGTGAAATTTAGGCATTCATTGATATTACTACTGATAACTTCAACATTATCATCATTGCCTTTTCTCTCCTACACAGTACTGTAGTATGGCTTCTTTAAAATCTCTGTAAGACTTTGTGAAGACTTATGTACATTATCTGCCCTAGACATGGAATTTGTCCTTTCCCATGTGTGTGTGTGTGTATAATCGCCCTAACACACTGTAAACACTCTTGAATCCTAGATTTTCTAATATTGGTAATCCACCAGTTGAGCTCAAAATGTTTATAGAAGAATTCTGCTTAAGGTTTCATAATTGACAGAGTGTTCTGTTGACAGATAAATGGTTGCATTTCTACTGGCAAAGAAGCAAATGTGTATCATGCCCTGGGAAGTGATGGCCAAGACTATGCCGTGAAAATATACAAAACATCCATTCTCACCTTCAAAGATCGGGACAGATACGTCTCTGGGGATCACAGGTATAATCCTTAAAGATTCACTAGAACATATCTTTTAATGTATAGCACTGTCTTAGACATAGTCTATTTCCAAATAAAAGAGATGGAACAAACAAGCAATAATATATTTATTATAACAGTATGTTTGTTTAAATTCATTGTTTTGATTTATGGCTTATGATCTTTAACGTTTTTTTTTTTATGAGATGCTTTCACACTGAACACCCTTTACACACCTGGTAATAAAATGAGTACACTGTCAGCTACACTTGCCAGTGGGGAAACAATTATCTGATGGACTGTCATACCTATTAACTCCACTACAGGGACACTTTTTTGAAAATTTTGTTTGGCTAACATCAGATGAGTTTATTCAGCTAAGAGGTGACCCCACACACAAGGAGTTAGGATATTGAGGTAACTCACAAGCACCTGAATTTTGAAAGTTAGGTGATCTGCACATTCCCAGACACATTTCTTCATATCAGGAAATGGCTTCTGAAAATATGTCAATTGTGTGCAGTCACTGTTCGTTCCTGGACTTTACAACTCAGATACTATCACATTCTATCTCTTTTATGGTCTTCTTCCCAATCCTCCTTTCAACTGTACTGTCAGAATCTTAGTTACCAGCCTGTTACTCATCATACTCTTCACTACTATGTCAGTTTGCCTTTATTCCTGTGCCTGTAAAGCTTCTTTAGTTCTTCTGTCCATACACCTTCCTCAACTTTGTCTGTTCACCATCAGAGCTCTCTTTTATATGTGCCTTTTCCTTCTTTGGTATAAGATGACCAGACATTCAGCAGTACATGTTGGTGCACTGGGGGTTGAAGGTTTGGCCGTGATAAATGCATCAAGAGTCATTTGTTGTGCAGTCTTCCTCTTCTCCTCAAGCACCTCGTAGTATGCTCGTAATTCTTTCTTGACATTGCTGATGATAGTGCGACTTTGGTCAACATTATGGTCCATTTCTAATGCCATATCCATTGCCATCTCAGATGAAGAAATCAGTTTCTGTAGGTTCCGTACAGTGAGGAGTTGAGTTGGAGTTTCATCTGCATCTTCTCCCGTTGCAAGTGGCATTTCTTCCTTCCTACGTCCAATGTAACTGCCACACATGATCTCTTAACAACATTGCTGGGAGTTTTAGTAGCTGGTCGCTTAGGCATAGCGAGATCACACAAAACACACACCAGCACGTGTGAGGCTGAGGCGAGCGGGAGCGTATGGCGGAGGAATACGTACACACGTACACATGCTGTCCTACGCTACGGTTGAGGCGCGCGGTTCAAAATTTTTGCTCGTAAGATTTTGCGAATAAACGGGGCAACCATTGCGAATAGTGGAAATAGATAACATTAATTTGATTGCATATAAACGGCGTTACGAACAACCGTGGCTATGAATAACGGGGTTTGCCTGCACTGTATAAAGAGTCATCCACTTCAGACAGGCATCAGGACCCTTTGCTTGCAAGGCATTTGCTCTACCAATGAGCTATTGAGTAACTAGGTGACAAAATGTAAATGATAACAGAAGAACAAATGAACAAGGGGATTCAATAACATAATAAGTGAACACATCATATTTTTGGAGCAGTCTTTCAAAGTGAAATCTTGTAATTTGTAACAGTGTTTTTTTACTTTTGTCACTTTTACTTTGAAATCCACTGATTCACATCTAAACAGAAAGAACAGAAAAGGCACTGCATGCACATTGTTGTTTCATTGGTAGGGTTTGGTGGTTTTAGGCTTTAAGTTTTTATCTTATATAATATCACAGACTAAAGTGAGGAGAATATAATTTGCATTGCTAGAATCCTTGCAAGACAGCGAATAATTTGAATATAAAATTAATTAGAACATGTCAGTTCAGTGACATTTTATAAGAGGACAGATAAATAAATATGCACTAGACCTTGGCATCAACTGTCAAACATATCACCTCACCTTTCCCCCCCCTCCCCCCTTTTCCATCAGCTGATCACTAGTAAACAGACCATTTAACGTCCCATAATTTTAGCTGTGTTGATTTATGAGTGTTTGTTTTAACATAATACTACAAAAACACAATGTTCTGTTTATTTAGGAGATGGGCTGAGGTGCATCTGGGTAGACTCTCAGTCTTTTTAGTATTTTGTGTTTCTCTCAAGTACCAAACTAAATTATTTCATTGAAACAACACTTCGATTTAGTGAGAATTCGGTTTAAATCGACTTCTCTTGGAACGTATCTCGTGTTATATCGACGTTTTACTGTAGTATAACTAATATTCATCATTTGAATGTTTGAGTGTGCTTGGTTTTAGGTTAATGATATGTTGTAGTCTTGTACCTTAGTAGATTTCTCATTAATGTCTTCTTTGATTATCTTTATGGTTCAGGTTTCGTCATGGATATGGAAAGCACAACCCCAGGAAAATGGTTCGCACATGGGCAGAGAAGGAGACAAGTAATTTGTTCCGTATGCATAACTGTGGTTTGCCTGTCCCACGGCCTGTGGTTCTACGCTCACATGTGCTGGTTATGGAGTTCCTTGGTACAGATTCAATGCCATCTCCAAGGTTGAAGGTAATGATTATTGGTGCTTTGAGCATCTGTTAAGTTTACTATCCTTTAATGTTTTTTAGTCCACGAGTATGGTTTTTACTGTTCAGTATTATATAAATGAATCAGATTTATCACATACTTTTTGTGATTAACATTGATAAAATTTCCTTATCCTATTGCTTATAATATCAATTAAATTATTTTATATCTTTTGTTTTGTTCCACAGGATGCAGACATTTCTGAATCCAAGGCACGAGAGTTGTACTATGATCTTGTGGTTCAAATGTGGATTATGTACCGTGAATGCCATCTGGTCCATGCTGATCTCAGTGAATTTAATCTCCTGTAAGTTTTGATAAACAAAAAATTAAGATATTTTGTTTCATCCTTCATGAAGCTTTGATTTATTTCAGAAAGGTAAACTGTCACATATACATACACATACACAATGAATGCATATAGGAGTTTAATTATTCTTCATGGGTCTCTGTGCATTAAATATATTTCCTGCCCCAAAAACTCGTGTGACATGGCAGTCAAGACAAAGATTCAGCCAAGCATGAATCAGGTCACTCTGGAACCCCTAATGAAATGTGAGATGTAGTGAGATGATATGTAGTATCAGAGATAGGTGATGAGGAGACTGTCTGGTTGCTAATTGGCCTGTGATGAAAGTGTGTGGTACATTCAGTATGCTCATAGGCTGTGCGGCTGACCCATTGTGAAGGTAGATCAACACCTGTCACATAGTTACGACCTAATCTGCACTAAATCATGTACTTTATAATTGTTACACTATTTATGTGGTGAGATGATAGTGATAAAGGTAGTACTGAAGTATAAGGTTGTGTTGAGGGTGGGTGAGATTGTACAATTTCAAGGTCCCTCATTCCTGCCTGTTGTGGCCATCTTGGCCACCATGCCACCACCCACACCATGTATATCATCCACTATCTCTAAGTATTTGCAAGCTGAAATTACATGATTGTAGAGTAAATTATGTTATTGGCATTCTAATATGATTTTCTGAAGGGTAAGGTAGCAAAATAACTTCAAGGTGTTCAGCTGCCTCAACTGTTTGTTTTATCCAGCTGATTTGGGGGAGGGGGCACTGTAAGCCCCCCAATTTTTTTTTGAGATCTGACCAATATCATGGGAATTTTGAGCCCACGTGCATTTGATATTAGGAGGTATTCTGAGGTCAATAGTAATTATCTTTTACCACAATTTACTATAGCTGAAAGTGGAAGATGATCAGAATAAAATAACAATTCCAACAGAGATATAGTAATACTACTGTACTGTACTCTTTTATTTTATAGAAATTTGCAGATTATTACATAGAAATTAAACAGAAGTTAGTCATACTTTTTTACTTTTATCCTCTTCACCAAATGATCGGCTCGTTAGCCGCTTGGGCGATCGGTCACGTCTCTGTTACGCACTGTTGGCAAGTACTGGGCATGCACCGGCTCCTGAATGTACCTGAACCTGCTCCAGTGTTGGTCAAGTCTGGTCTTGAAAGAGCTCACACTCGGTGCCTTCACAACACTTTCTGGTAGATTGTTCCAAGAGTTCACAACTCTCACTCCGAAAAAGTTTGCAAGAACGTATCCACAATGTTAAGTGAGGACTGGGTGTAGATTATTTCTTATAATTATTTATTTGTTTATTTTAGTAAAGTAAATTAGTGGAAAATTAATATAGCAATAATATACATACGTATAGAAGATTTTATAGTATAAACCGCAATAAATATACAAATAGAAAAAAAATATATAAAATTTTGTGATACAAAATTGCAGCAGTACAATACTGCATTAATCATGCTATGAGGTGACATGAATTGTAAGAAAATATAATTTTTTTTACTACACATGGAAGATGTTTTGTAAAACAAAGAGACCTGTACTGTATATGTGCATTATATAATCATATATTTATTTCCATGCACCTGCTAAGTTTTTAATGTGCAGCCAGGGAGGAGTGAGCACTGCTTATTTTGACTGTGGAGCAATGTGCACATTTTATTTGTTTAATTAAATAAATCAGGTATATGGACCTGCCCTACTCTGTATAGTTTAAATGAGTGAGGTTTCTATGTACATGCAGATTTATTGAGTAAATTTTATATGTGGAGGGGAATTGAAATGAGGAATATTTTATGTTTTTTTTATTTTCCTTTTTTAATTTTAATATGCATTCTTGTTTCCATAGATACCATCAAGGTCGACCATTTATCATTGATGTATCTCAGTCGGTGACTCCAGATCATCCACACTCACTGGAATTCTTACGAAAGGATTGTACCAACATTACAGGTTTGTGTTTTTATCATTTGGGTCTGTTTAGTTTATTAAAGTTCCAATCTTGGTTACATAATCTAAGCAGGAATCAAAATGAAACATGTGTATGAATGTTGGACTACTGTCAGTGAGTGCGTGTTAATGTTCTGTTGTGATTTAGATATACAGTACTTTATGACCTTGAACTGATTTTTTCAATGATTGATAGAATACTAAAATGGCTTGCAATTAGGTTCCAGCTTTTTTGTTTTCTAAATTATCTCCCTCTGTCTGTCCATTGAGAATTTTTCTTCACTAAAAGCATGATGGTCCATTAGAGTAACACCAATATCACTTTACATCTCTGATTAGTTTTACCAACACCTTTTTTAATCATTTTTACTTTTTGAAGTATTTGAGATATGTATACAGTGTATTTGAAAATCGTCTATTGCTCACATATCTTATGTTGGAAGAGTTATAATTTTTTATTTAGAATGCTGTATAGTTGTGTTTTAGTGCTTGTTTGTACTGTACTGGGAAACCAACATCTATTTCTAAATATTTCAACCATTCCTGCATTACAAAACCTACATGTATTACTTCCAGAATATTTCCGTAAAAAAGGAGTGCCCACCATGACAATCCAAGAATTGTTCAACTTTTTAGTGGATCAAACTATAACCTCCCAGAACCGTGATGATCACTTAGAGAAGATGAAGACCCTTGCCTGTTTGCGACCAGTTGGACAAATGACTGATCAAGAGAAGGTGGATGAGGAAGTGTTCAAAAATGTCTTCATTCCAAAAACTCTGGATCAAGTCAGTGCAAAAGACCTGTATTTAGCATTTAATTTGGTATATGGTAGTTGGAATGGGATGTATTAAGTCAGGTCTTTCATGAGGGAAGAGGAAGTAAAAAAGTACAGAGTATAAAATTCTTTGAGTGTTTGAAAAAAAAATGTGAAAATTGTTGCTGGAGGGACAGCCAAAGTTATTTAATTCTGAGAGAGAGAGAGAGAGAGAGAGAGAGAGAGAGGTTATGAATCTTCATTTTTCTTTGAGATTATGCATAGTATAAAGACATAACTAACTTTCTAAGTTTTGGTGAATAAATCACAGAAAAGTAGATCCATCTGATGCACACATCCTTGAAACTACTGAACAGTTGACAGTCCAGAGAAACCTTGGAAACTGGTATTGTACAGGAGGCAGAAACTTCTCATCACAAAATATGACCCGTTGCTAAAAGTTGTCCTCCATGTCCGTGTACTGTACTGTCTCGCAAATTCAATTTGTTGCTCCTTGTGGTGTTATGTTAATACTGTAAAGGTTTAACAACTGGGATGTGTAAGTGAGCACCTGCTGAATTCGTTTACCACACTACTGCTTGTGATGTGTACTGCAGTTGTAACTCCCCTTTGATGTTACTTCCTCTATTTATAAGCCTAGCTTACAAGCATTCTTTAACCTTTCGGTCTTCATACGGTGTTGGTGAGTGAGGGTGGCCTGAACGGTATGTTTTCATCTGGATGCTTTCCTCTACATAGCTACTTCTTAATCCTTTTATTTTATTTTTTTTTAGGCATTAGCCCACCGGGGCACAGGTCATTTTATAATGACCCATGTCAAGACTGGGGGGGGGGTGGTGGTGGATATAATAAAATAATGGTAATAATAATAATATTAATACTGTATTAATATTAATAAATTAATAAAAATTATAAAATAATAATAATGACCGAATAAAAAAATCAAGAGAGAGAAATGATATACCTGTACAGTATATGAGAAATAATACAGTATACAGTACAGTATACCCTTGATAACTCGTCCCATATGGGGCTCAGGCCTTGCCGAGTTATCCCAAATTCCGACTTATCGAGGCACTTCCCTCTCCTACAAAAATACAACAATAAAAAATTATTGACCCATAAACAGTATATGTACATGTACAATAATTACTAAATGTAAAAAAGCAACACTTACCAGCACTGCAGGCGAAGAATGAAGCATCATAGTAGGTGACACAGAGGTATGGTAGGTGATACAGAGGCATGGTAGGTGGCGCAGGTGTCCAGATATGCTGAGATTTTCCCAGATAATTTTAAATGTCTCCGCATTTCCTGAGTTATATTATAATACATTCCGAGACCATATCCGTGCCGAGTTATATGAAATTCCGAGTTATCAAATGCCGAGTTATCGAGGGTTTACTGTATATATGTTGTGTTGTCAAAGTAAGAGAAACAATTGAGACCCTGCAATTGTGTGCAAATGAGGCAGAAAGTCAGATCAGCAACCTGGGACTTGGTCAAAATTTTTGTGGTGCCATATAGCAGCAGGGTCTAACATTATGCTTCCAATATTTTCCCAGGCAATAGTACCTCCCTGTTTGATAGCTTCATGTTTATTGTGTTTCTGTCTTTGGCTCTGCTACCTCCACTGAATGTACACCCCTCCTATACAACAAAATCATAGCTCACCTCATTTCTCTTCTGGTTTCATACTAGATGTGGTGTTGTGCTTATGGGGACTATTTGCAATGAAATATAGATGTTGGACTTGCTCACCTGTGGTTCCCAAATACCCATTTATATGTAAAAGGGTCAGTTTCGAGACACACAAGAATATGACTCAATACAGTATTGGCAATGCTTCATATTTCATAACCGATAACATGAGGGATGAACATTTCAGTCATCATTAATATATCTGTGGATGGCTCTTAAGTGGATATATCATTGAATCACATACAGGTGTCCCCCACGTTATCTAAACTCAGTTTGTGGAAATTCACCCATACGGAATTTGTAAATTAATGACCACTAAATTCGGTTTTATGGAAATAGGGGTAAACTTTCAAAATTTTCATCAAAAAAATCATGATACCATATTTAGTGTGGATTTCTTGGTGTTTGCTGTCACCAAGCGTGAGTACTCACTACTCAGTGTACCCACACCGCTGGACCCAGTTTGTTTATATCTCCCATTGTGTATGCTTGATCTCTTGACCCCAGCTCTTAGATTTTACACTTATTTGCATATCTGATTCAAGACTTTACAGTGTATTACCTTTATTCAAGACAAGTGGAAAGAAGAGATTAAGTACAAGTGAAAGCAGTAGTGCTAAAAGAGCCCATAATGGAATTATATTTGATTTAAAACTTGATGCTTTATGGAATTTGATGTGGGAGAAAAACTTAGCCAGATCTAAAAAACATTAGGGCTTGCCATGTCACCCAATAATTCTCATTGCACCACCTTACGTCACACAGCACTCAACATTATTTGTGGTGAGTTAAATTCAAGTGTTTTGTGTATTTATCATCATATTATATCATAAAATAATCAGTGTACTGTATGTGTTAAATGTGTATTTTTATTCATAAGTGTGCTTGTATTACAGGTACTGTACTTCTTTTTGCCAAAAACATATCTTTAGGAAAGCATCTCCAATTATATAATGGAAGTCAATGGGAAAATCAGGTTCAAGTTACGGTTAACCTTTCAAGGATGCATCCCTTCCGTAACCTAGGGATTACTGAATTTACCTTTAGTGTTTCTTCGATGTGCATTCATTATTCAGAAGTAAATGTGCCAATTTTCCTCAATTGGGATAGTAAAGTGACTTTGAGTATTGTATTTCAAACTTTCAAACGATGAATGACTCAAAGCTTTGATCTAGTCAAGCATACCAACTGACCAGATGTAGTCAAGATTAGGCTCTTGTTATACTGTATTCCTCTAGTTTTGAATACTGTACTGTACTCACTAGACACAACTGGGAAGATATTTGTGTCTTAGACTGTACATATGACTTAAAGTTTGTTTCAAATGTAGAATTTGGTTGAAGAAAATAAGTTTGATTGTAACTTTTGTATTGTAAAATGTTTGCCACAGTATTTTGTTTAAAGTATGTTATGTAATGTTACAGGTTATTGATTTAGAACGTGATCTTGAGCAACTGAAATTGGGTGAAAAGACAGAGAAAGACTTCCCCTATCATAAAATTATAGGGTTTAAGAAGGACCTCACAGGAGTAGAAGTACCATCTGAGGATACAGTAGATTCTGGGGGAGAGGCAAGTGAAGGTAAGTAACAAATCACTTGATAATTATTTTCTAGTACGTACAGTATTGTACTTAGTCATAAATTGTAGATGACTCATTTAACACTTGTGTGGTACAGCTTCAACAGTCTGGTTTTGGGTGGCTGAAATAGACATGAACATCACTTTATATAGTATTATGGTAGTACATAGAGCAAGAAGAAAATTTATCCAATATAACCTTTTTAGTAGGTAGAGTTTTAGAAGCATAGATGATGGTCAACTTTACGGCAAAAATTCTATATAAAGTTTCAAGTGTTCCCAGTGTTAACTAATTCACATACTTTGTGAATGTGAAATATGTAACTTATGCCTGTAAAAGATGACTTGTGAATATACGTGGTGGAGGCTTTAGTCTTCGGAATCCATGTAAACCCTAACCTATGATGGCAGCAGCTAATCTGCAAGTTAGCTGCCCCCCTCCCCCCCCCACCCCAGCAAACTGTAGCCTATAAAATTACAGTTGTCCAAGCTCTGAAACCTCCCAAGTTAGGGTTGTCACACAGTGTGTGAGCAACTTGCTCTTTATTTGTTTGGGCTAACCTAAAAAGTGGGAAATTGGACCAAGGCATCTGTCTCCCAATGCTGCCTTTTCATAGGGAAAGCTAGGTCCTAGGCTTCATTTGAGGGGTTTGGGCTGGGCTATGCAATTTTTGATGCCACATTTAAGGTAAGTGTGTGTTTTCCTTTTGTTTTGCTATTAATAATGTACAGTATATTGTAATGAATTTTGATGTGACTTACGTGGAAATCCCCCAGAAGACAATGTTAGTGGGTTGGGTGAGGAAGGAATGGGATGGCGAGGTAGCTCCCACAGCTTGGGTTGCCAAACGCTACCATTTGTCAAATTTTCGATGCATTCGGCGAATTGGCTGAGTTTTGGGGAATACGGGTATATTTTCCATTGATGCTGAGCAGCTTGCACATCCTGGAAACATAAAATTTCCGTTTGATGCTTAGTAGCAATGATATCCTAGAGTAGTGTTGATGAGAGGGTAGATGATTTGACAGTAAGGGATTTGTGTGTCACCCATGCACTGTGTCCCATTGGGCACAATCTAAGGTGTGTAGTCAGTACAGTACTGTTTATTCATACATTATCACTATTGATACAATGTTTTCATTGTATCACATGTTTTAAGGGATCTGTTCTGTGCTGATAAGTGGATTCATGGCATGGTTTGGGTAGCTTGGCAGGAAAAGTGTCATTCTGGAAGTGAGTATGGGAGTGTTTCTGTGATTCCTGCCCAGGTCACACTAGAATTACCTAGTGTTGTACGAGTCAACGAAAAAAGTGGCGCCGCCAGCGTCTGCGTAAACGGCAGAGAAATTTTATGCTGTCAGCGTCGGCGTAAACAATTTCATAAATTGACGCCGTTAGCGTCAGCGTCAACATCTAGCGTCAACAAGTTTTCAGTGATGTACAAATGCAGCCCCGAAAAGCGTATTCTCCTGTGTATGGGAGTAACATATGCAAAATAAAAAAAATATTCATTAATGTTAATCATTTATTATGATTTAATTATATAATTTTAATTATTCATTTGTTCCCCGCAAGAATACTAGCATCTCAAAATGCTTGTCGCTCATTCTGCTGCGCTTGGGCCTCAAGACGACATCCTTGTCCATGGAGAACATGCGCTCCACGGGGTGTTGTATTTCATGAACAACTCCCTCATGGCCTTGTCGGTCGTCTTTATAACAAGATACCCGGTAATTGAAAATCGAACTTGGAAAAATAAAACATTTTTGAAGTCGACGAACAAATTGACGCTTGACGCTCTGCTCGGGTGAAAAGTTGACTGCGTCACCTGTAGCGTCACCTGCCCAAAAAATTGATGGCCTCAGCGTCAGCGTTAACAAAAAGTTGCCGCCGTCCATTGAAGGCGTTAAATTAACGGCATCAACGTACAACACTGGAATTACCCATTATAGTAATTCCTTCTTTCCTCACACAGCTAATCTGTGGAATGCTTTGCCTTCTTCTGTGTTTCTATCCTCGTTTCAAAAAGCTGGTTTTCTGGCACCTTCATGGTGTAGATTAACAGTACTCTTTTTCTCCTCTAACTTTTACTCTTCCCCGGGGTCTGGGGCTAGTCCAGTGACCCTTTTGTTTTGAATGACAACATATGCAGAGGGGTTTCTGACCAGAACAGAACCATTTTTTCAGTCCTGTTAATAAAATTAAATTACAGAACCAATCCCTCATTTTTTGCATATGCATATTTTGAATTGTTATTCTGCAGCTAATAAAAAGATTTATACTGCATTGGAATTATCAGAAACTGGGTGACAGTTTTTCTCTCTGTAAATTTGATCGATAAAGATCATTGGTACTCAAAATCTATAGGGTAATAATTTTTGTATTTTACATATTTTGCATTTTTCAAAGAACCTTCACTGAAAACCTGGAAGATGAAATTTTCTTGATTTTCTAGTATGAAGGCCATTGGTACCCAAAATACTGTATACAGTTGATGAAATAATTTTTTTTGTCTATGCTATAGTGAATATAAAGTACACTAGTAATCATTGATCTCTCTTAAGAGTCATTATGCAGAAATGCAATACATTCATCATTATAGGGAATTCATTCATGTTTTATAAAGTATTTATGCTGATTTTGTTTAGGCACTTTTATGGTCCTGCCACCATCTGCAAGGGCATTTAGTGTTTGCTTTTCCCAACTGTTCATCCAGCTAAAGGTTTTCAACTTGGTTGTGGCATAAGCCTTGCAAAAGAAAAGTTGTGATATCTTTTAACTGCTTTTAGTTGGAAAGAAGAAATACCGGTAGTTCTCTCATGATCCCTCTCTTAAGGTTTGAATAAATTAAACACGAATAGTATCATAATTAAGCTTGCAAACCACTTTCAAAATGGTGGACCTTCAGTGAAGATGACCAAAAATTTTCAGAAGATGATGAATCTACAGATGAAGCAACAAGAGAGAAGGGCGAGCCTACCACAGCCGGACGACAAAGAGGAGAATCTCCATCTTCAAAGAAAGAACGTAAAAAAGCCGTCAAAGATGCACAGGCTATGAAAAGAAAAAACAAGGTGAAAAAACACATCAAGAAAAAAGCTGAAAAGGATAAAAGAAAGAAGCACTAATGTAATATGAATAAAATTGTTTATGATAATTTTTTCTCCTATCCTTAATGAATAAGGCAAATAATGTGAAGAGTAATGTATTATTTATGTTAGAAAGGATTAAGTTTGGAGGAAGATGCACAGAATGAAATATAGCATAGTGAGGCAAGTAAGGTAGTGGTTCCCTGTGAATGTGAAATTCTCGCATTTATGTTTGGTAAATTGTTCTTGAAAAGTTGTCCATAACTTGGAGTTCCATAATGGAAACGCAATCTTCCTATTTACTTATTTTTGCAGAGATGTGTATTGTACCAAGAAAATATTGTCACACTAAGACATAATAAAATAACACTTGATCATACTGTATAATAAACCTTTTTAAACATAGAGTTAATCCGCTGGTACTCTTGGCCTTGGTGGGAAATTTAACCTTTCATGGTTTTTCGATGCAGATAGCGTCGTTTACAATCTCACCCCTTCGCAGTCTTTTGCCGTAGCAGGAATGGTTTTTCCATTTTAGTAAACATTGGGTAGAGCGATCCAGACGTAAATTGCACCCTTAGAGATTATCTTCCAGCTCACGAAGCTAGTGGGAGGAACTTAAGTGGTTGATAGGGCCGGTCCACTGTTACTGTGTTTCTGTTTATGGGAGGGATGCTCTCAGTGTGAGATACAGCTGAGTGTGAGGAGGGGTTGCACCAGCATGGGAGCGCTTAGCGATGCTATTGTGTTGAATGACCATGAGAGGGTCAATGGAATAATGGTTGTTCTATAATGATATTTTATTAGGAATACACAATATTAGGAATTCAACTTACAAGATAACATGTTGATTGGTGTGTGAGGTGGAGGAATGGGATGTACTGTAAAGGAGAGAGGGTGGCACTACTGTCATCTGCCTCACCCCACCCCAGATCAAACCATCATAGCACTTACAGCTTTACATCTAAGGTAATGGCTTTATGGGCTTTTTTAGGACCACTGCTACCACTTAAACTTACAAATATCCCTTGTTTAACGATGGAGTTGCCTTCCACACCTATGCTTTTATTTTTTCTTATTTTATAGTTTTATACAGTATTATATTTTCTTTATTTCTAATTCACATAAGAGTATTGTAATGGTTTTTCCACGACTTATAGTTTTACTACCTGTAACACTGGCAACAGACCACTTATGGTACTTTACAGCTGGGGAAGTGAAACCAGATTAATGCAATTCTGCCCATTCTGCCTCTAATGTATGTGTACCAAAGGCTTAGTACAGTATACAGGTTCTCCTCGACTTACGGCATATTCGACTTACGACACCCCGGACATACGACGGCCATGGTCGTATAAAATATTTTTCACTTTACATATTTTCGAGTCCCGACATTAGTGATCGCACTGTGTACTGACAAAATTTTTGTTTGTAATTCCTTTAAAGTTGCTGGCAAGCGTAAAAGTGAGAGTTCTCGTGGTGCTGAGAAGAAAAAGAGACACCCATTTTAGAATTTCTATGCATTATTTTCGCCTTTTCGACTTACGACCAATTCGACTTACAACCTGGTTGTTGTCAGGATGGAACCCCGTTGTAAGTCAAGGAGAGACTGTACAGTGTATTATATCCACTTTTGCTGTTCATTCCCCTCACCAGTTAGTGCTGCACAACATACTGTACTGCACACTGAGAATGGAATAGTATTGTTTTTTGGGCATTAAACAATCTTCTGCTTTTTATAAGTGTATTGTTTTGCATTTACAAATGTATTCCCATTTTTGGATTTACGTGAATTTTAATAATTTCATATACTGTACATCTAATGGGGAAGTAGTCAACATTTCAAAATATTGATACAAATTGTCAAATAAGTAATAGATTCTGTGAATATAATACAGTACATTATTTTTCACATAGTACAGTACTGTAGATCATGAAATTTTATACATCTTATTGTAAAGAAATATGAAAAGATGGGCTGAATGTTACTGGTCTGTAATTTATATAAAGAAAAACAAATTACATAATACTGATATGAATAATAAAAATAAATTCAATAATTTATTACATCTGTGATTGCTGAGTTACAATAACATCATGATTAAAATGTTTTGCATTATTTATTTTTTGCTAATACTAGTATGTATATATATAGCACTGAATGAGGTCAAGGCAAACCAAAGTGCTTAAAGCTCTAAGCAAATGAAAACGATATTGAAAGATGTAGTACACTATGGGATCATTATATTTAAGAATACACTTAACGATAACATATCTAGCACAAAAATATCATACTGACAGTCATGTTCATAAGTCATGTAAACAGAGAGAGGAGACTCTAAGAAGGTCTTAGGAAAGCCAGGTACAATATCAAACCTACACCAAGTAAAGCACCACTGACCAGTTGTAAAAGCCTGTAACTCCATGATGGATAAAACAAAGCTCTTGTATACAATATTTGCTTAACCTAAATTGTATTAGTATATTTTCTCTCTTCTCTTTCTGAATTCAAAATATGAAAAGAATGACTTAATTTAAAATATTGCACCCAGATTGAGCAGTCATGGCATTTTATAATATATATTCTTACTTTGTTATACATAGATTTAAATAAGTGTCATTCTCTAAATAAAATTTCATATATACACATGTCACAGACAAATTTATTCAGTATGTTCTAAAATATATATTAACTTTATTTCATCAAGATTTGCTACTTCTCATAGCACTAATAAGCTTCAGTTGCTCTCCACAGTACCATTGCTATTTCCACTTCCATTATCATTAGTGTCCTCATTTTTGGAGCGAAACTTGAACAGGCGTGCAGCATGAGCATTAAATGATGAAGATCTGGCTGGGGCTGTTCCACGCTCCTTTCGTATTGGCCGAAGTGAGTAAGTGCGGACAGGTGGTGTTCTCTCCTTGACCTAATAAACCAATAGATAAATCAATTACTGGTACTTCTTACAAATAGAGACTAGTTAGCTTTAGTTGCTCAAGGAAATTCTTCTGTAGGAGTGATGACTCATTTTTACCACACTTATACTGCAGCATGACTTGGTAGTGTACTACAAGTCCTGACTCTACCTTATCTTTCAAAGATAACTACTGTACTGTATACATATACTGGTAATGATTTATAAATTTTGTATTGATATTCATTCTAAGTTTCTTTACACTTTTTTCTTGCTTCTCATCTTTTGTACCTCTACTTATTGCTTTATTTATACTTGGTAAGGCAACCATTTTAAATGTACAATATTGTGTGATTCTTAGCATTAACTATTATCAATTGTTCTACCTGTGTGAAAACAAAAGAAACATTCAGTATTTCTCACCAAACAATCTGAGTGATTCCCTTAGAATCAAGAATATTCCCAGATGGTGAATACAGGTATGTCAATAATTCAAATTACAGTACTGTACTAGATATTTTTTTATTTGTTCTGATGTATTTAGAATCCGGGCAGAGATATATTCTCTACATGCATCTAGACAATTGTGTGAATCCAGAGAGGGGTATACTGATACACGCAGGTAGATAAGCAGCTTGTATCACTAAACCAGAATATACATTTTACTTAAAGCAAATAAAGTCGTATGTACACATGTTTTTGATTAATATGTGTGCATTATATTGAACTTGGTTACATGTAACAGCTAAATTAGCAAAGCTTTCTTATTTGTAATTCCTATAAAGGAATGGAAGAATATAAATAGGAATAAATATGCTGTATACCTGTTTGAGTGATGTGCATGGTTACAGTGTGAGTACAGTACAGGCAGTCCCCGAGTTACGAACGGGTTACATTCCTGGACCCTGTTCGTAAGTCAATCTGTTCGTAAGTCAGAACAGTGTTAAGTCCATAAGTTAGATTAAGTTAAAACACAACCCTGCCCATACAAAGCAACAATAATATTCCATACAAAACAAATACACAATGTAAATAATGTGAATAAAGTGAAGTTAAACAATATAAAGTAATGTGAAGAATGAGATTTAAGTTACAGCCTTTTTGTGGTGAATACTGGTGAATACAGTACACTGTATGGGGACCCGTTCGTAAGTGCGGGTATTTTTGTATGTCAGGCGTTCATAACTTGGGGACTACCTGTGTTGATGTTGAGAGTGGGATTGTGTGGGTATAGATGAGATAGTCTTGATGTCTAATTAGAGTGTTGCTTACAGCGAAAGTGATGGTTCAGAGAGAATGTTAAAAAATATTGATGTTAGCAAGAGCATTGGAAAGAAATGCAAGTTTGGTGAATACAGGTTATAAATAGGAGGTGAATCAGCTGCTGTATGCAGATGATAGTAACCTAGTAGGTGTTTCTTGAGATAAGTTACAAATGTCATTGAATGAGTTTGGACAAGTGTTTACTAGGTGTAATAGGAAAAAGACGTAAAGTATGTGTAGAAAAGCAGTGTGATGAGATTAAGTTAAGAAAGGAGTCTGGGTGAAATAAATTTTAAGGAAACAGAATGGAAGAAGTGGCTTGGATGTCTCAGCAAATGAAATGATAAGTGAAATGAATTGCAATGGAACAGAAAAAATTATGTAATAAATGAATTGAGAAATGTATGGAAAAAAAGGAGTGTCAAAGGACACAAAAATGAAGACATGCAAGAGGAACTGTTGAACCAACTTTATTAATAGGGATAAAGTATGGTCTATGGATGCAAGGGGAAGGAGCAAATCTCTTGTAAAAACAGCAGAAATGATGTGTTTGAGAGCCATGTGTGGGGTAAATGGGATGTAAAGAATAAGAAATGGATGAATGATGAGACATGGGAATGAAAGAAGTGTCAGGGAGAACCAGAACTGGATTTCACAGGTAGAAGAGAATGGAAAGTAAAAGATTGGGAAATAATGTATAATTCAGAGGTGGATGGTAGTAAGGAGAGGGATAGACCAAGAAGATGGTGGAATTGACTGAAGGCCACACTACAAAAGAGGTAGATGGATATCCAGTAAACAATATAAGCAATAGTGTCTGTGAATCAGTTGGTACCATAGCATCAAGTTTTTCTTTTGGATGAGGACATGCTGCTGATGGGTGGTGCTGGCATGTGTAAAATGTCAAGGGTAAATCAGATATAGGGCCGGGCCATTTTGTGGAAAGATAATGCTGTGCAGTACTGTACTACAGCTTCATGTATCTTTTATAGCAGTATGAATAAATGAAAGGAATTAAGCAGGAATACCTGTATAGTGTACTGTATAGAGAAGAGCTTCACTCATCTGTAAGGTTTTTAAGGACCAAGATCCCTTCAGATCGGTAATTTTTCAGATGGTTGAGGTAATCTGACTGAGTGTAATGTACAGTGGTCCCTCGGTTAACGAGCACAATCCGTTCCAGCAGGTTGCTCGTTAACCGAAAATCTCGTTAACCGAAACCATTGTTTCAATGGGTTTTTGGGTAATTGGTTCCAGCTCACCGAAAATTGCCTAAATTCAACAAAAATGGTAGAAAAGTTCACTTACTTTGAGGTGTGTATGTAGAAGGCTCCTGGATGATGATGATGTGAATTTGAAGTGGGAGGTGGAGGAGGAGAAGGGAGAAGAGAAGGAAGTGGAGGTGGAGGAGAAGCATTTTACTGCTTCTTGGAAGGTGAGTCACCTTCCATGAAAATGTCAGGAACCTTTGGACTGACAGATTCTCCACCATGAACATCCTCTCTCCTTCTTGAAGTGGAAGGCTGAGGGATAGCATCTTGTTCCCTCTGCCTTTTACTGAAGAAAGTGTCAATTGTGGTCTGTGGGGCATCTGTCCTCCTCACCATTAACTTATGTTTAAAGAAGGAGACCACTGAGTCCTCAACATGACACAAATTTAGTTCAGTTTTTTCCACTTCTGGGTGCTTTGAAGCCAGTTCCCTGAACTTCTCCCAGTAGTAAATCACATCTTTCAACTGTTTAGCTGACATATGGTCATCACTTTCAATTTCCTCCTCACCACTGTCAGCCTCTACCTGTAACATCTCATCCAGTTGCTTCAAGTCATCAGGAGTAAGTTCCTCCTCATGAGACATCACAAGCTCTTCCACATCCTCCTCCTCCACTTCAAGGCCCAATGACTGACCAATGGACACAATCTCCTGGTCCAACTCTGTTTCTTCCTCAAATCCCTCAAAATCATGGACTACTGATGGCCACAGTGCTTTCCATGAAGAATTGAGGGATCTAGTGGAGACTTCTTGCCATGATGACACAATCAATTTTACAGCCTCCAGGATGTTGAATTGTGTCTTCCAGAAATGTTTCAGTGTTAGTTCAGGATCATTGGAAGTTGCCTGATGACACCTCCTAAACATTTTCTTCATGTACAACTTCTTGAAGTTGCTGATCACATTCTGGTCCATTGGCTGTATGATTGATGTAGTGTTTGGAGGCAAAAACAACACTTTCACAAAGTCAAATTGATATACTCCAAATTTCTGGCAAGGTCAGGGTCATGACCAGGAGCATTATCCATGAGGAGAAGAGCCTTTAAAGGGAGTTTATTGGTGGTTAGGTAGCTCTTGACAGAAGGGCAAAACACATCAACAGCCCATTCATTAAAGAGCTGTCTTGTCACCCATGCCTTACGGTTGGACTTCCAATAAACTCCAAGCTTTGTTCTTACCACTTTCTGTTGCTTGAACACCCTGGGGTTTTCAGAGTGGTAGACAAGCATAGGCTTCAGTCGGAAATCCCCTGAAGCATTGGCACCAAGCAATAGAGTGAGACGGTCTTTCATGGGTTTATGCCCAGGTAAAGAGGCTTCATATTTGGTGATGAATGTTCTTTGGGGCATCTTTTTCCAGAACAGCCCAGTTTCGTCCACATTGAACACTTGCTGTGGAAGATAATTTTCTTCTTCCATCAGCTTTTTAAATTCATCTAAAAACTTTGCTGCCCCTTCCTTATCAGCACTAGCAGCTTCACCATGCCTAACAACACTGAAAATGTCACTTCTTTTCTTAAATTTTTCGAACCAGCCTTTGCTGGCCCAAAAATCTTCAAATTCTGTGCCTGAAGAACCAGGTTGATCTGTCTTTAAATGTTTGTAAATCTCCCTGGCTCTTTCACAAATGAATTCAGTAGAAACTGAATCACCTTTCATCTGTTTTTCCCTAATCCAGATGATAAGTAACCTCTCAGTTTCTGCAATTAGGGATTTACTTTTAAACACTCTTGTAGATTTGTCTCTCACTTTCACTTCTTTAAATTTGTTTTTCTGTGCAAGAATTGTCGACACAGTTGATGTCGACATGCCATATTCTTTGCATAGCGCATTTGTTCTAATGCCTTGTTCATGTTTTTTTATGATTTCCTGCTTGGTTTGGATTGAAATCGCTTTTCTTGATCTCTTAGGCCCCATGCAGATTCAAACAAAGTCAACACGTGCTTTTCAAAGTTAAACTTGTTGTAAATAAAGAATATTTTCTTTAAAATAACACTGCACTGCACTATATATTGTCAATATGTAAAATAAATTTCAAAATGACTAATAATTTGCTTGGAAACACAGAAAAAAGCATTTAGTTGAAGAGAGTCTCAAGCAAGATGTTACCTCCAGTGAAAACAGAGAGAGACTAACGCCTGTTTGCTGTGTTAGGAGGCTGGATGCCGCGCATTAAACTATAGTCACTTTACCTTCAATTATGTTGAATAATTGTTAAAATGACTAAAAAATTTAATATTAAACTTTTAAAATTATTGAATAGTATAAACTTCTTGATATATACTAAAATAGTAAGGAATTTAAGCCCTAGAACCGATTAATGTATTGGCGGACTAATACTACAGCTGGTTGACCGCCCAGTGCAAGCCAAAACTTGTTGAGGTTGGTTCGTAAGAATCTCGTTAACCGAGGGGTTGCTCGTTAACCGAATTTAAGAATCTTACGGGAGGTAACTCGTTAACCGAAATCTCGTTAACCGAGGGACCACTGTATATGGTACAGTGTTGATATGTACGGTAGAATGAAAACATATTGTCATAGTACATAAAGTGTCTTTGTACTGTATAATGTACATAGTTTACTATGGTATTAATCTGTACACCACTTAACTAATATTGTATCAGTAGGGATGGGGCAAGATGTGTGGCTGCCATTTTGTACATTCTTAGACTATATGGTTTTTCAAATGTAATAATAGTTGTGCAATACTTTTATTACAGTAATGCAATAAAAAAAAACTACCGGCACTATACAGAGTGAATATGTACACCCCAGAACAAAATAAAATGGATGGTACAGTATAACGTGAAAATCTTTCTCTTGTATAAGTGATGTTTAGTGAATTGTCACATTGGTGATGTGTATTGCCATCCATGTACAAGAAAATGTACAGTAATTTTAATATAGTGTGAGTGAAAAAAAGGTGTACAGTACTCTGAATACATGTACTGATAGAATTTTTTCAGCTCGTCCTAACACTGAGTGGTGGTGTGTCATGTAATGTCTTTCTCTAATTTTTCTCTGGTGTAGATATCCATACTGTACTGTAATGCGAGTACTGTACAGTAATAATCATTACATTATGTTTTAAGATATCTTTTGAATACTGTACTGTACCATTTTCACATACTGTAATTATAATACAGTATACAGTACTGTACCAGGGTATTAAATGGCAACCATACAGCTCCTAAAACTCACTACCATATGTGTGTGAATATCGAGTACTAGGACTCATTTTTTATTTTTTTATTTTTGTTTCCAATTGGATGTTTTTATTTATATTTTTCAAATTGTGTAATTAAGAAACCATACAGAGCAAGGCCATGAAGTGTAAGGGACTGTTTTGCATATACTGTAGATATCAGGAAATTGTACAATGCGTCTGTACATCTATTAAACATGTTTCAACCTTCCCCAGTGAGTCTTGCAACTGTCTGCCCACTGATATGAAGATGCTGCTATGAACTACTGAATGTATTAAAGAAACAAAGATTGTGTATAGCTTGTGCCAGTTCTCTATGTATTCAGTAACTCAGTAATAATGCTTCTGCTTCTCATTCAGTAGGTTGACTGATCGAATCTCTGGGAAAGTAAAACAGTATAACTTTTTTTTCACAAAATAGTAAAGCTTCAAATTGGTTTCTGTTCTAATTTTAAATCACTCAAATTCCTCATACTGTTACCTTCATCCTAGCTTCCAGCAATTCTTTCCCACGTTCAGACATGATAATCTTCTCTCGGGCGCTACGTAATTCATGATCAAGTCTCAGTCTCTCACTTTCTAGCTTTCGTAAACGTTTCTCTGCCTCTGAAAATTTAATTTCCAATTAATTAATAATTAAAGAACATTTACATGGCACTACATACATAGATATCAAATGCAAAAATTTTCACAATGCTTTCCCATATTGCTTCAAGCAGTCAAAAAGTTCAACCTCTTGTCTTTTAGGATGTAAAACAAGCCATTACTCAATTGATGTCCAACACATCTTATTTTTCCATGCATGCAACTTATTATCCTGTGATTGGCAACTTGTTATCAGATTTTTTTTTTGTATGGAAATTTTGGTTAACAGAAGATGCTGCTACTTTCTTGAATCGGTTTTTACATTGTCCTATACAGTGAATCAATACTATCAAAGGATTATTAAATATAACATCTAAATACTGGACAAAGCTACTGCATAATTCCTTACCTCTAAGTTGACTATCTTTCTCTTCTTGCTGAAGCTCAAAGGCTTGTCGTTTCTTTGTCTCCTCTTCCAACATTTTTTTTTGTTCTGCTTGTAGACGTTCCAGTTCTTCTCTCCGCTCCCATTCCTCACTTAATACTCTTGCTTGAAGGTTTCTGAAAATAAATCTTGTTGAAAACACTCCAAAATCAGGATTTAATTCCAGGGAGTTTTACAGAGTAGTACAGTGCTGTACTGTAACAAAATACAAAAACTCGTAAGAAGAAAAGCTCTCATGTAAAGGAATTTTCAAAAGTACTGTATGTACAGTACGGCAAAATACTGTATACCATATATTTTTTTCATTCTTGAGTCAAGTGATGAATTCACTTCTTCTGTAAACTCAGCAATGTGATAGTTTGTCACACATTCAAACTAAACACATTTAACATTTCTCTTTTTTTTTTGTACATACTGTACTGTATATACAGTACAGTATTGGTAACTTCAAATGATGATGATTACCTAACAATTTCTTCATCACGTTTTGCTTGGGTCTCTTCCTCAAGTAAAGTTTCAAGCTGAAGTCTCATAGTCTGAAGTTCTAAAACCCTTTTTTCTTCTTCTTGACGAGCTGCAGCTTCCTGTCGGGCTGCTGCTTCAGCCTGTGCTCGAGCCTGGGGATATAGAGGATAACTTGACTCATTTAATCAAATTAATCTGACATTAGTGGTTAGTATTGGATGACATTTAGTATGGTACAGTAAAGTACTGTAATGGTAAATTAATTCATCACAGTTTATCAACTGCAGATTTTTCTGGTCTCTCTAAGACAAAGGAAGTTATTACACACTGACTATGATAACAATTATAAGAACAAACCACTTTTTCAGCCATAAGTTCAGCTTGTGTATTCTCAATAATGTCTGCCTGTGAGTCACGTCTTATACGTTCAGCAGTTTCTCGTGCTTCTTCTTCTGCATGCTCATTCTTTCTAGCAGCCGACATTATTGCTTGATAAGGAAGAGTTTCTCTAGAATGATGAATAGCAGCATCTAGAGCTCGTAACCATTCAGACTTGTTCCTTCAGAGATAAGAAAAATTGGTACAGTATCCCAGAAATATACCCATAAAATGAGCAAATAGTTTGTAAATACATAATACATTATTTGAGTACACAACACCACAAGCATATCTGTAACAGCGATGGAATATACAGTATTTAGCAAGTCTGCATACTGTTAAAGCTCAAACACCTAACAAGGAATTTCCTATGTTGTCACCATAATGCTATCAAGGGCTTCATAAGGGGTGTTGGTAGTACAGTACACCAGTAACACATGCTTCTCACTACCGTGTCATGGGTTTGAGTCCTGGCCTAGGACGCATGTGGGAAGTGTGTTATTCATTGTGACACTACCAAACATTACAGGTTTCCTTTGGGTACTCTGATTTCCTCTTGTATTAACACTGGATAATAAGGCTCATAACAAAGAACAGACCAACCACCCAAAATGGCTAGTAAACTGATAAGGCAGCAACATCCTGTGATGTACCTTATTTGCTCTGTCAGAGACACCGAAGGGGAAGTTTTTCATAGTTAAAACTTTATGTAGACAAACTAGACATTTTAAGTTTCTGGGTTATCAATGCATCCATTGGTCCATCTGTCCCACCATGTTGATGGCTGCCACTTTGTAAAGCAGCTTAGAAACAACTGACAGACTGGCATTAAAGAGCATAAATACTTTAGGCAAGTTCTAAATGATAGTTTTGTTTTGACCTTGATTCTTGCATGCCACCTCACCAGGGTTAAGGAAAACACGATGCATGATGATGTTCCTCTGTATTCCACTAAAGGCAAGGTTATATTTATATATGCATACAGATAACATAATTAAATTTTTCACCTGTGATCAGTAGCTGCTAGCTGAACAAGTTTGTTGCTTTCTAAGCAGAGTGAGAAGCGACACAACCTCGCACCAGGTTCATCAGGGATGTTATGAACTGTGGCCGAGGGAGTGAGGTATACCTGTGCCCGACCCACCACCTTAGCTAGTGCTGCTGATCGCACTTTAAGTTTATGGCTAGGCGCAACCAATGCCCAAGGTCGTAATTCTATCTCTCTTTTCACCCATAATGGTGCCCACCAAACACGCTGGTACACCTTTCCCTGCAAATTCAAGACAATGAAATAAAAAGTTGATACTTTTATAGTACTGTACTACGTTATATAGTACAGTATATGCAAAGTACAGCAATGAGTAAAATTAATAGAATCATGTGTAAGATCATTCTGACTAGACCTGCAAAGTGTTAACTTCACAAATTCAGCTTTCAACAAAAGTAAAATTATCATCAGACATCAAACAGTTCAGTACTCACAAGTTTCAGAACTTGCTCAACAAAATTCTTGTAAACTTCACTGACTCCTCTCTCTAGTGCAGGGGATTCAGTATCCTGTGCATAGCGACCTTCTAAAAATGTAAGGAATACAGGAAATGTGAAGCATGAAATTGATGTTGCTAATTGATTAAAATCACGAATGTCCCATTCTCTTCCTAGATTTGTGATCAGATGCCTTGTAACCTCTCTCACCTCTACAATATTTAGTGTCACCTGAAAATAAAGAAGATAATGCATTAATCAATGAGTTTATAGATTTTACAAAATTATTATTCAATGGTATTTCTATTTATATAATTTTCTTAAACAAAAAGAATAACTACATATACAGTATTCCCATTTAATCCCAGGAGTGTATGAAAAGAATGGCGTTTGTATGTTTTTATCCCAAAATAAACTACCTGTATTTACTCTCCTTAGGAGGGGGCTGCCAAAGTTTGAGTGCCATAGTAATTTGAACTCAAAGAACTAAAAGTATTATGGGTCTGACAATAAATCATCATATCATTTTGGCCTGCCTACATCATAAGAGCAAGATGACAGCATCTGCTGATGAGTATATATAGTGTATACAGTAGTATATTTTGTTTATTTATAATATATTGTACATGTACAGTGGTGTTCACATAAATAAATACTGCTCTGTGTCTGTCTGTGAGAGATGCGTAGTTTAGACTCAAGGAAAACTTTTCCCAGCTGAGATGCGTAGTTTAGACTTGGGAAACCTACCCCAGTACCCCCAAAAAATTCCAAGGATGTGTGATTTTTTCCGGGGATGAGAAATTCTTCTTCATATAAAGAGGTCTCAAAAAAAAATTCCCGGAAGAACTCTGCACCAATTATTTCAATTAACGGATTTATCACTATTATTATTACATCTTACCTAAAAAAGATTGATTTGACTAACCTGTAAAAGACTTTTTCTCGCTGGTGATCGGTCCGCCAGAAGACAGAATATACGGAAAAGTTTGAACACAGCATCCTCCGAGAAAACTGGGAAATGTCGCTGTAAAAGTGTGGCCCTGCCCAGAAGCCAGAAAGTGTGTTCAAGCGTGTCATGATGTTTCTTAAGCTCACCATATGGTGTTGATCCATCATCTACTTCAGCTAGAACCTAAATGAAAACCATAATAATGAAGAGCAGCTCCACAAAAATAATTTTTTCCATGTTAGTTAAACAGATTATATTGGGATAGTACTACAGTACTATATGTTAATTATGTTAATAGATGATGACATTAATATTAATTTTTAATGAAACATACAATATCAGTCAGCCATTTATCACATAGGTACACTAAGGTGGCAAAGGGAAAAATTTCACCCAAAGAATTACTAATCTCCACTAGATGACCAGCACTCACACCTCTCTTATATTATAATTCCTCACTTCATGTATTGAAGAAAAAAATAAAATGGTCAAATACAGTATACTACTGTATCTCAAATGAAAGTAAATTAATATTTAAATAGAGTTAAAACATATTTTCCTGTACTGTACAGTAGTACACATACCAAAACTGATACTGTGTGAAGATGGGAAGAAAAGAAATGGGTATTGCATTCACTCACCTCGTGTGTAAGAAAGTAGAGGTACTGCTCAAAATTTAATTGTTTTGAACTAAGATATTCAGCAATACAATTTTCCACATGCCTGTCCACTTTCAAGAGGACGCCCACATTCTGTGTTAAAACCTGTAAGGTAAATCATAGTTTTAGGGCATGTTTGTTGTGTATAAAATGATACACGAGCATCAAATTAACATGTACACTATGAAGTAATAATATTGGGGATATCATGCACCTATACTTGAGTGTGAGGCAGTAGTGCAACAGGTACTTGAAGGATAAAACATTGCTGCCTGGCCATGAGACTAGTGGGAGGAATTTAGGTGGTTGATAGGGCCGGTCCACTGTTCCAGCATTTCTGCTTACGGGAGGGGTGCTCTCGGTGTGAGATACGGCTGAGCGGAAGGGGTTGGGCCAGCACGGGAGTGCTTAGCAACATAATGTGTCAAAAGACCAGGAGAGGATTATCAGCAAACAAATCATGTTTTTGAAACATCAAGAGAAATACAGGTACTGTATTTGAAATTTATAGAATTAGGAAAATGAGATACTTTGGCCATATAATTAGGGCTTTGGCATCACCGCAGAGTAAGAAAAAGTAGTACGTACCTAGGCACCTAATTATCTATCAAATAAAGCATTTGCCCAAGAACTGAATATCATATAAGAACTCACCATTGAAAGTATATTAAGAAAAGAACAAAACAAATAATGGTTCGGCAGGTATTTTGTCAATATTAACCAGGGTAAAATTGAGATTAGAAGGGTTAGGGGAAGACAAAAATTGGGATAGGTGAATAAAATGATATCACCTTATCCTTTTCATGACTAATTGGCTTGTTAGCTGCTTGGGCAGTTGGTCATGTCTTGTTATGCACTGTTGGCAAGTACTGGGCATGTGCTTGCTCCTGAATGTATGTGAATCTCCACCAGTGTTGGTCAAGTCTGGTTTTGAATGAGCTCACACTTGGTGCCATAACAGCACTCTGGTCGATTGTTCTAAGAGTTCTCAACTCTCACTCCAAAGATGTTTGCCCCGACGGTTTTCTGAACTTTTGGCTTTTTTAACCTTAAGCTGTAACGCTAGTGGGCCAGACATCTGCTAGTTCCAGGTATGAACACTCAACTAAATAATGGTCTCTGAGGTTCTCATAGACTTGTAATAAGTCACCCCTTATCCTCCTATACCATAGTACTATAAGCTAGGCAACTGTAGGCATTGTAATATCTCTGGGACCCTGAGGTGTGGTAATGCAGGCACCAGTCTGGTGGCCCTGTTTTAGACATACTGTACTGTACAGGTATCCCCGATTTACGATCGTCCATTTTACATAGGGCAAAATCCATGTTAACGATAGTTATTGTTAGGCTGAATGTAAACACTGAGGAAGTGCATCTTTCCCTTCACTTGTCAAATACAATATGGCCAGTATGTGCAGAAGCTGCTTTTCTATCTTCCACGCAGTTCACCTACCCACGTGCCGCCTCATGGGCATCATGCGAACAACAGTCCTGTGTTTTGTTTCAGCATAATCGTATCTGCCTTGCTCGTGCAACTTGACTTTTTTACTTTTATCCTCTTCACCACTGATCGGCTCAGTAGCTGCTTGGGCGATCGGTCACGTCTCTGATTATTTTTCCTTTTCTTTTATCCTCTTCTTCAAAAGATCGGCTCGTTAGCCGCTTGGGCAATCGGTCACGTCTCGGTTACGCACTGTTGGCACATACTGGGCATGCACCGGCTCCTGAATGTACCTGAACCTGCTCCAGTGTTGGTCAAGTCTTGTCTTGAAAGAGCTCACACTCTGTGCCGTCACAACACTTTCTGGTAGATTGTTCCAAGAGTTCACAACTCTCACTCCGAAAAAGTTTGCCCTCACAGTTTTCTGGACTTGCGGCTTTTTCAATCTTGAGCTGTGACCCCTTGTGGGGCGAGCGTCCGCCAGCTTCAAGTAAGGACACTCGACTGAGTAGTGCCCCTTGAGATGCTTATATACCTCAATTAGGTCACCCCTTGCCCGTCTGTAGTATAAGCTATGCAAGTTCAGGCGCTCCAATCTCTCAGGGTAGCTGAGGTGCCAAAGTGAAGGTACTAGTCTGGTGGTCCTTCTTTGAACATTTTCAACCAATTGACAGTCCCTAGCATATCTTGGGGACCAGATGGGGTGACAGTGTGGGGTTATGAGGTATTGGTTCACACTCAGGATGGGTTGGAGAAAGGAAAATCACAATGTGCTCTCTGTATACATATTGTATTGGATGTACAATGCAGCTTGGTGTTGGGGAGTGGCAGCGTGAGTCCAAGCGTGGTGTAGGGCCACCAGGCAGGAGCGGAAGAGGTGTTGCTTGCTGGTGGCTGTAGGTAGAAAAAGGGAGGTCACGGCCATGTGAGGTCTTATATAGCGGGGGTAGGCGTGGCCTGATAGTTGACCTCTGCCTTGTTAGGCGGCGCTGGTTACCGACCTAGACCACGAGGGGCAGGCTGGGGAATTCGAAGAGGGTCGGCTACTCTGCGACAAACGGTGTTTGTAGGGGAGGAATCCACTACAACAGTACTCCAGATGGGGATTTTGAAGAGCTTTATGAAATACGAATATATATCCCCAGAGGTGCAAAACCTGTTGCTAAAATCAACCTGAAAGCATTTCAAGTTGAGAATCATGGTCACCAATCCTCAGATAATGGCATTTTGATCTTCTCAGTCGAACCCAACATAGAGATATGTACAGTACAGGTACGCTACTGTATAATAAGAAACACAGTGCAGTAGTTTCAGCATGTATAAAACATTGTACCGTAATGTGTAGGTATGTTGACAACCTTGAGGTAGTTGAATAATTTAATAATTTAAATAGGAAACAGTTCATATGGAGACGCCACTGGAGCATCGCTGAAACAATGTTTGCCTAGCTAGTACAGTGCAGTATTGTACCCACAACGCTCTATGTACAGAAGTACATTTGCAAATACCTGTACCTGTACTGTATATGATACACCTCTACTTTGCAAGTTTGACAACATGCATATTGCGTTAAATTGATTTAAATTCATGAATTATTTCTTAAATTGTCCAAATTTTGGCCAGTTTAAGATATAATTTTACGTTTCACTGTAAAAATCAAGAAGCCCGCATCATGGTGTGAGGTCACATTGAGAGTTTTGAGACTAAATCACTGGTAACTTATATGATGAATAAAGGGTGTTAGGTCAAGTCCATCCATCTTGGAGGAAATATCATTTTAGTTACGTAATCTCATTTTCAAAGATTATTGTTACGTTCTCCTGACGTCTACATAAATTAATTATATATAAAAAATAAACCCGCAAGAATAAAGTTAAAAATAAAGAGTTATTCACTACGTTTGAGTCTAAAACACGATCATCACAGATTAGATTGCCCCCGAGGGGGCTAGTTTATTGGGCACCCCCTGAACACATAAAGAAACTACTGCAAATCTTCTGACCTCAATATGGTGAGCTCAGCTGAAAAAAAGGCACCACCCCCATCCAACTCGACCCACATGTGTGTCCACCTCAAGCGGGTGGCTCAGGACACGTCATCTAACTCAAGTAGGGTCCCTTGTTGTCAGGCTAATAAGCTCCTGCGGGTTACACTTATTGAACTGATTTATATCTGTAGCATACAAGCAAGTCTCTACATTTACGTTTAAAACACGAAACACAACTTAACACAACTCAAACTACATACAACAAACGCGTACAGGACAAAGGCGTATCCTTTTAAATAAACCACTAACATGTTAAACAAACTAAACTATAATACAATAACTAAACCATTCTGACACCTAACTTATACTACTTCCTCTTGTCAAACTGCTTCAATACAAACGTCATAAGCGAAACAATCCTATACATCCTCGTGAAATAGCTGAGCCAACGAGACAAAATCTATAATACAAACCCAGACTATCAAATCATTTTATATACGTAGGTATATAAAAAATACAAATAAATGTATAATACAGTAAGAAAAATATTCCATACAAAAAAATTAACCAAATCTAAATTAGCTTCCATAATCCAAACTTGACCTTTCAGACCTAAGTCATTGCAATTTACACACACCTACAAGCACGTTAAAGATAATTCTTGTCAAACATATTTGCATTTCGAAAAAAAAAGAGTCGATTGTGAGGTTGGTGGAGAAAGGTGCGTCACTTTCAGTTTAAAAAAAAAAAAGATTAGTTCACCAGTGTAGAGGCTGGAGAGCCGAGTGCCTGAACTTTGACCCAAACCGGTGATAGTAAGTTGGTCGCTGGAGAAAGTCAGCTGTGAATATGTCTAAAAGATGAATTCATTATTGCTAAAACTGCAGTACAATGAGTTATTTCAATGACTTCTTACCTTAACATTTGATATTGGTGGTCATGAGAAAACGTTAGTTATCTTCAGTAACAAAAATCGTCAGATTCTGTTGATAACTGTAGAGTGCAATTAACTTTTTCGCTGACCTCGAAACTTTACTTTTCATTGTGTCGACAACTACTGAATCCCAGCCGCCAGTTGAAACGATTCGGAAATATCAGGTCTTGGTGAACGCTTAGTTGTTCGTTGAAGATGGTTACGACTAAGGTGGTCGCTGAAGAAAAGTAATCCACTTCACTTATAAAAATTAGTGAAGATTCCATCGTATTTATTGAAGCTGGAGCGGTTAAATATATCTCAGTGACCTTTAACCTTGACCTTAAAACCGCTTCTACCATACTATTCCAGTGCATATTGAAAGTCCTATAGGCCGATCATTGATATTAGTTCATATTAAGTACGCTCGACTGCCAACAGACACAATGGCAGAACTTTGGTCATTTCACCATGATTTTGTTTAGAAGTGTTTATTTATTGTTGAAGAGTGAGTTTCATTTGAGACAATCACTCATATCTTCAGTAACTCATACAAAACCTCTCGTACCCCCGCTTCACAGTAACACAGATTGACGTAAAGCTGCATTATCCAATTCCCAACATGTATTACCTAATTTACCTCCATTCATACATACTATCCCACCACCCCCACACAACTTTGCTTTTCCTGGTGTTTTACTTAATCACAAACCAATCTTCATTTTTTTAATTCATCTGATGTTATCTCACTCTGCTCTTCAATCTGTCTCGTATGTCAAAGTTAGCCTTTCCAATAGTTTCCTTTTAGCCCGTAAAACAATGAGTTCACAGATATATGTACAATACTGTCAGCACACTTGGAAATGCAAGTAAACTGTATGGATGCACAGTGAGATGTTGTTTAGTCTCGTCTTTATTTGTGGACGTGATTTGAGCTTATAGAACAATTTAAAATAGTGGGAACTAGTATTGCCATTATGGGGTGAGAGTGGTGGGCTTCCCTCTTCATGATTTATTGCCTGCATCATTTTGAAGGCCTCTGTCATATCCCAACGTGCACTGTGGTACACTGTTGATGTAATTACGGGAGATGCTACATAAAAATAATAGGAAGTGTTCTGTAATCTGTCCTTACAAGGGGAGTGTTCTGTAACTTACCAATACAAAAAAACGGGTATAGGTGATAATGTAAGTGTACTGTATCTCATAAATACGAGATTGATGTGGTGTTCATATAAAGTAAATAAAAACATGGCGATTGGTATACATGCAGTGCCCGTACAAGGCAAGTGTACTGTACAGTATACGAGTATCATCCTTACATGGAGTTAGTGTGTGGTTTCCATATAAGGTATATGCACGGTATAACCTGCATACAAAGACGTGTAGAGACGTGGAGTGCACGGGTTGTGTAGTGTTGAAAGGCACAGCAGCACTTCCTGTAGCTGAGCTGAAGTGGAGAGAACTGTGGGTCTGTCTTACACTCACGCAACGTGCCTCCTGCCCAGGGTGTGTGGCGGCGACTGTCGGTTATTACGTGTCTACTAATGAGTCGGTTTGGGCACGCCACCACACGCACACATGGGGAGAGAGAGGAAGTTAAACTTTCTTTAATGTTAAGTCAGATTTCCTAACCCACAATGAAGACTAATCAGCGTTACTTTAATAACGGCATTTTACAATGAATAAATGCTGACGATGGCACAATGTGTTGAATAATGGTTGATGATGATACAATTGAAATACACACACACACACACACACACACAAGCAGGTGGGCCGCAAGGTGGACATGCCAGAGGGCTCCAGGGTCATGACCTCTAAGTCAACTCATCTTCCTGGCAGTGAGAGAAAGTACTTGGGGAACATTGTAAATGTTATCACATCTGTTTTTATAATAAGATGCAATGTTCCTATCACAAGGATGTTCTGCACATGTTAGCACTTCTCTTCGTCTCGGTGACTAACACAATATATAAGTCTCTCAGCGACTGTTCCTCGGCATTATAACTGGGATAGCTTTCACCTGCACTTTTCAAACAGTAAAAAACGAATCTCAGTACAAAATGATAATTTTATATTTTACAAAGTATATTAATGATGCAACCGAAAACGAGTAACCAATTAATAGTTCGAAAATGATTGTACAGGACCGTCGAAACGCGACAAATTTATCAAGTAGCAGGTCATTCTGGAATTGGTATACAAGAGAGGAAGGTATCATACCATCACCACACACCCAGTGAAGTGTTGGTGAGGAGGTAGTAATTAGGTGTCATCGCCCCTTGTCGTGTGTGGTGGCACGACCCTCCGCGGGGGACCTCTTATGACCTCACCGCCCGGAAAGCAAATCCTGCACCGCCGAATATCCATACAAATTTTTGTTGTTTTTATTCCACTGTGTGAGGACAATTTAACCAAAATATTACGTAATGCATACTAGTAAGGAGAGGAGTTCATTGACGGCCCAAGTGTCAGGAGGTCGCGGTCACGGTGCACACTCGCGCCTAGCTCGCACACGCCTTGCGCCACTCCGCGTCTCCTTCATGCCTCTACTCGGTTTCCGATCACCATTTGATCTTAAATGATCTACGTATGTGGTTATCCTACCTTTAGTTGACTCTTAGGTACAACACCGGTCTTCTGGTGATCAAGAGCGTCGAAGGCAAACCACAGACTATTTGCGACCAGCTGGCCCAGGGTCGCCATGACGGGCCGCCCGGGAACAAGTGAGCATCGTTTGGGAGACCCACCCTGAATGTCTCGTCCAGACCACTTGCTCTTTAACGTGTTCTTTTAATGCCGCAACAAACGCACATGGGTTTCATATTATTTTTTAATTTAGCGTCTAAACGATTTATACTGCGTTTCTTTAAGAGAAGAGCGAACAATATCAGAAGAAAGTGAAGTGATATTCTTAAAATATAAAAATTCCAGCGACACCTGGAGCCAATGCGTGCCCATCACCCACCTATGCCCGACTCTTAAGATTTACTCGCGTCGCTTGTCAACTAAAATCTCATCGAATTGAAGAAATAGATTTGTATAATTCTACACTCGTCAGTAATGTCTGGTGAAGTAAAGTTATTGGGTAAAAGAAAACAACTGATGATAAGAAAAGCTGCCTTAGTTTAACGAAAATATTTGAGACGCTGGTCATTAAGCGAGAAAGTGGCGGGTATCTGACCATACCACCCACAACCTGCTCCAGTCCAGCCACCTGTACCAATTAGCCTCCACCTCACCTGCCCGCGGCTAGTTACACCTGCCATAGGACACTTAATCCTCCATGCATTGACTCACACCACTGCTTGTTAACTTAAAGTTGAACATATCGACACCAGAGTGCTTCTGATATATATATCTAATGTCAATTGTTGGGAACCTGCAGCACGTTAACCCCCCTCCCCTCCCCCGACCCTTCCTACACCCCACCCTGTTTTTCCTCCCTCGCCAGACTATCAACACTTAGAATCTTGAATTAGGAATTTATAATAAGCATCTACTACACTAAACATATCCCTAGAGGAAAAATATATACCAGTGCCACCACTTAGCACCCTTTACGTCATGCCTGGGGCCAGACCTCTCAAAGGTTCCAGTGATTAATATTACTTGAAAGTGAAGATGTATGACTGCACCTGACTGGTGGTCTTTAACCAAGACTCAAAATAAACGTCCAAAATACCATCAAAATGACGAAGAGATTCTATTTTAACTAGATATATTCACTTAACATTATTTATTGTAGGGAGTATTTAGAACATTTAATCTACCTTAATTTTGTCAGGGGTTAAGTGCTCTACCTCCAGTAAACTTGTCAGGTACATTTTTCATCTTCCCTGACGATGAATGGTCATCACACAAGCCCCTGAACACCAAGTGAGAAAAAAATATTAGATTAGGTCACGTTCGCCGACAGAGAAAGAAACAGTATTTTTCTTCATCAAGGTGGAGTTCCCTGGGAGTGGTGATACATGGGCAAAGACACTCAGTCGGAGGTGTTCCCCACGCGCTGCCTTCTCCCACATGCCATCAACCCCCGCGCATACCTTACCTTGTATATAGGTTGGCGCCAGCTACACACCACTCACCATTTTCTGTTGCTTATTTGGACTGTCGTGACTATGCCGCAGGCGAACCTCTTTATCTTAAGCTACCAGAGACTCTATCCTGGATGTTTTCCACTTTACGTCCACATCGGGTGTCGTTTTAAATTGTTGTTGGCATCAGGGATTATGAAGCGGGGAGACTGATGGCAACTTTTGAAACTATAGACTGATACCTCTGATAAAGGAGATAATACCGAGTGTGTTTAGTTCTTATTAACATTTTTACTAATTGTTTTTTTAATAGTGCAGTTAACGTATGCAAAATTCTCAGCATTCTTAGAAGCTAGTGTGAACAGGATGAGCTCGCTAGACTGCGTGCCGTGAACTCAGCTCCACACACACACAAACACACACACATGCTGGTCTGCCGGGTCAAGTGATTTTTCTCCTGCCTACTTAAGGAAAGGTAGAAAATATAAACTAAAAAAGACTGTGATAATATTACAGGTTTATTTAAATCTGACATGTCTTTATTTTCGGAGTACCTGTATACTTTGTCATGAAAACTCTTAACAATAATGAACATGGAAGGAAATTTTATTTTCATATATCAGCGTTTTATCAAACCATTTTAGCTGTACCCAAATTAAAGTTTATCTTTAAGAAATAATTGGAGGCGTGACACGTGTAAACCCAATGGGCTTCATCCTGATGGTACCCATTCTAAATAGATTTCAACGAGCTGATCAGTGGCGAAGAGGATAAAAGTAAAGGAAGAAAGGCACCAAAATTGTATTGCCAGTGATAAGAACATTATCCCATCCGGGTGTTAACTCAGTTAATAGCTAGTTGGAGACACAGGCTACTGGCCTTCTGCCTTGGCCACCTCCAGGTGGGGTGGCTATTATGTACAATATATATATATATATATATATATATATATATATATATATATATATATATATATATATATATATATATATATATATATATATATATATATATTGTTACGACCGTGTCGTATTTTTTCTATTTTTTTTTATATATAACATGCTCCCATGTTCCATATTATTCCTGTAATGATGTGTTAAATTTACTATTATATATTCTAGTCACCTTACCCTGTGCTGTTAAGGTTTTAACTGTCATTATTTGTTCAAGCCCATCTTATTTCTTTATTTTGTATTGTAACCAGCATTCTTTGTTCTCTAACGACCATCTGCATCGTTAAACGACCCACCGGCGGGTCGCGTGGCGGGAGCCGACCTTATATATAGGACCCACCAACTGACTTGAGTCAGTTCAGTCCTCTTGTCAAACAGTCCACATCCTTTGAGTGTCACTTGTTACTTAAACTTAATTTATTTGTGTTGTTCCTGTCGCCACCAATGTGGTATATCTATGTGAGTACCTATTTATGTCTCTGTTTGTGTCCATCAGTATTTGCTTAGTTGTATTCAAGTAATTTAGTGTTGTTTCACGTTAGTTAATTTCAGTGATAGTTTTTATATGTTTATGCAGTGTTAACGTAATCCAATGCTTTATTTTTATTCTTTCGATGTTTCGATGTTTTGTATCACTTGTGTCTTAAAAGTTTCGATGGTGAATCAATTTGTTGTGACAGCCTTCGAGGCTCTTTATTGTGTTAATATTTAATCAATTAAATTCTTAAAGGTTTACTTTATTTTTATTCTCTTTTAATTTACTTCACTTTTTGTTTGGTTACGCCTAGAACCTGGATATTTAAGTAAATTAAGAGACGGCGTAACAGTATATATATATATATATATATATATATATATATATATATATATATATATATATATATATATATATATATATATGCAAATATTTTTATGAGTATCTGGATATAGTTACAGGGCTGTATGATTTCGTTGTGCTTGTACGTATGCGTAACAGTGTGCGTGTGTGTGTGTGTGTGAATCTTCATCTCCCGGGTCTGGTCTGATAATAAACAGTGAGGCTGGAGCGACCTACATCACTCCCAAAGTTCTGGGTCACTCACAGGGTGCACGATAAGCTAGAGGTATTGTATCTTTAAGTCGTTACTCTCGAGGTATTGAATAAATGGTCGTGTTAGGAGTTCGTGGCACAACAATTCTTGTTCTGAAATAGTTAAAACTTTTGGACACTAAATTTTTCAGCTTATTTATTAATTATGCCACTCTATACGGATAACTGTACTATACTTGCACTGATGCTTTTGAAGACAAAAAGTTGAATATTCATGAGAATGCATAAAATCTCCGTAACCAGCTGTTTTTGTTGTTTTATATGCTTCAACTGCAAATATATTAAGAAATAACATTTTGCAGATTTAGAGCAATACAACGCATCACTTGTGAGGTCTATGAAATATATTGTACTGTAGTGTAGTTATCTTATATTGTTGATAAATATATATGACTGAGACAGTGTGTGGGCGATACGGGACTTTAACGGGAAACAAAATAATATGAGTACAGTACAATATTTGAATACATTGCAATATGTAATTTGGACAAGATGAGTCTTGAAGTATACTGTAGATATATGTTGTCCTTGCGATATAACTGAAAAGGATAAGTACTATAGTACGAATTGCAACCCGAGTAAATTATATGTGGTTCTTTCTTGAGCGCTTTATTTTTGTTTACTTTCTAAGTGTCAGTCACTTCATGGCGGTGGTGGCGGGCGTATGATGACTCCTTACAATTGCCCATTATCTCCCTTCTCCACTTTCTCTCAATTTGTATGTTCCTTTTATACTTTCATTTTAGTATACACTTGCACAATAAGTTTGAGAGCAGTATTTCGATACCAAGACGTGAATATATACAAACTCCCATAGTGATATACTTTTCTGGACTTAAATTACTTTTTAAAGATTGAGCCTCTTTATTCACCCAAGTTCTGCTTTAAACTTACATTTTGTAAATTGGGGGACCGGTGGTAGAAGCGGTACCGTTCTTGCCTCGCAAGCGGGATGTCACGGGTTCGATTCCCGGGCCGGTGGAAGTTGTTTGGACTTACTTCCTAGCCCCCATTAGTCCCTGTTCACCTAGCAGTAAAGTAGGTACCTGTTGTAAGACGAAAGTTGCGAATTCGTATTCAGGGAGTTGTTGGAGCTTCCAATAAATAACTTGAGGACATAAACCACTGAATCTTCAGGCTTCTACGCCCTTTTGACTCTTCAGGCTTCTACGCCCTTAACTTGTGAGACATAAAGGCAAGCAAGAACTTAGCATGCTTCCCTGTAGGGCGCTGTAAACGCTTCTGCGCTTCACCTTACACAAGGATGTAGGGGGGTGCCCAATAAAAAAAGAAAAAAAAGAAAAATGTAAATTCAGTTTCTCGCATTCTCTATATATATATATATATATATATATATATATATATATATATATATATATATATATATATATATATATTTGTTAGGCTATCTGTGAAGGCCAGCGAAGCTAAATAGGTTAATGTAAACAAAAAAATAATTTGAAATCTATTTTTCAGTTAGTTGAAAGTGACACATAATCAGGAAAGCCTTAATAAGGTGTACAGTATATATTTAATCAAATTGTAGCCACTCTGGGATATATCTGTTGATAAAATACATGTTTATGTGCAGGTGGTGGTGAGGGAGTTCCCCGGTGGGCCTCCTCCAGGCCCTTACTCATCACCCAGGAATAAACACCCCCATCACTTTTAGTAGCAAGACCCGTCCGTGGCTTCTGCTACACTTCATAGGATAATCCCTACCAAGATACAAGCTATCAATAATAAAGTTTATGGCAAACTTTTAGCACCAGCGCTAAAAGATTCAGAACTGTACAAATACAAGCGTAGCACATCTCAAAACACCATCTCCAATCAATAAATGAGTAAAATTTCTCCACTAATTTTTATTTATTTTTTCAAAACATTACATATTATAGGCAGAAATGCAGATGTGCCATACAAGCAAACTGCAGGTTAGGTCAGACCTTAAACTAGGGGCCTGGATATCATATCTAATGGCAAATAGCATATCATGTTGCATATTTCATTATAGGTTTGGGGGTCTTGTCAAGCATACGTCAACCAGAGCACCAACCTATGGCCAATATATAACAACACAGTTCAGCCTCCAAAGATTTAGAAACAGACCATTTATGACGAGCACCACAACAACCATCGTTACATGGGGCCTGGGAGTGGGATTTATGTTCTAGTGGCTCAGTCTCCTTAGTTTCTCACATTCTCAAGCAGCTGCAATGTATACATATAGGAGCCAAGACAATAATGGATACTCCGAGATATATATCCTTGAAACCAGGGTGACAGGATAGTGTGACCCATGCACCCATAAGGTCAGGATAGGAGGGAGATACACAGAGTGAGGCTCCCACCCCAGGTTGTCATCCCCGAGTTCTACCAGAGCTGGTGTGTCAGCACGAGCAGGGACACCCAGCTCGGTGATCTTACCTCTAAGAGCTTAGCTGTAGATTTGGCAGCCATTCACGTCATATTTGACAATATAAAAATGTGACTGAATGGTGAAATTTCAAGAGTTGCTTCTAATAAAAACACATTAATCTACAGTAATGCTGCTCTTTAAGACATCAAAATCATGAAAGCATAATTATGTTTCACCCAAGAGTGTACAATCTCCACAAGAGTAATAGCAACATTTTGTTTTTTACTGCACATAGACAGTACTGTACATGGCTTTAATTTAATCTTTTTCAAATACAACAAAATTTTATTTAAAGAACATCGTTTACACACAGTCTACTATGAAAGTATCAAAGATTTTGATAAGAGGTTAGAGAACCGTTGATTGTCTAAGGTCTAAACAATGTCATGACTTGCATTAAGTTCACCATGTTCATGCTTATATTAATTTGATTATGAAGTTCTACATCTAGATACATCTCTCTTCTTTCTCCAGCCAAAAAAGTTAAATTATGTAAAATAGAAAGCATTCACCTTACATCTAACGTCACAGATTAAGCATAAACAGTACAGAAGCGACACACTGCGCCCGATGGTGGGTGAGGCTCCACACCCTCGCCTCAATATAATTATTTAATAACTGCGAGGCTTAGGCTATTGTGGCCACAGCTCATGTCACGATTGTCACATTAAACTACAAGTACACTGTGGAACTTTAATCCATAATATATATATATTTTGCATCATTACTGTCTTCATCCCCAGGTTTCCTATACTTTATAGTTTGATCAAAACAAACTCAGGATCAATAACTTATGGTATTCATTATCCAAGTATTTCATTCCATCAAGGCACTACTGTAAAATCAGTTTTATTTGACAAATATAATCCTACAAGGAGCTAATTATAATTTGTGACTACATGACGACACAGGCAGCACCGCAGCACAGTGGCAGACAAACTGGCACCATAGTCATGCCTCCCTTAGTCTCAGACGAGGAAGAGCTCTCCTTGTAGCCCGATGCTCGCTCCATTCTCCACTTGGCCTTCCCTCGACGACGCCCCTCCTTTAGTGTCATAGTCTGTCAACAAAGCATAAATAATCAACATGCATGGCAGTGTTTGTATTCAATATCACCATTATGATTAATAATGTGTATGGCCTAGGCTGCATTATCTATTAAATAATTAAAGCATAACAACTCTTTAAGTAACCTGCGCTGTACTTTTATCAGCTAACTACAGTTCCTGTATACTGTAATTAGAGTATATGTACATATATGTACATACAGTATATCTGCAGTGTTTGCTTATAATACCAACATGTATTGCTTAATGAAAAGTTAATGATATTTATACATAATACTAACATGCATAGTTTCATGGAAGAGCTCGTGGCCTGGAGGGTAGTAGACAGGAGGTCCAGCCTTGTTCTTGGTCAGTTCACGCTTCGATTCCGCCTCAGCTGCAGCCTTGGCATCTGCTTCTGCCCGGACTGACACCTGTACGATATCAAGGAAGTCAAATTACAATGCATTGGTTCACAAAACTCCTCTCGGGTTTCTTACTACAAAATGTGACTCCCAAGAGCATATCTGAATCTTAACACACACGCACTGTAATTCACCTGGAGATAATACTATCACTACACAGTACACACTGTAATTCACCACTATAATTCCCGATAACAAATCTATAATTAATGGTTCAGTATCAAGTAAAGTTTTTTTATCAGTCACACTTTTATACTGAAGCCAAACAACATAAAATTAAATGGAAAATACTGTACCTTTCATAGGGTCTTTATTGTATGGTAGTTTTCAAATCTCCCTTCCCACCCTGCCAAAAAAGAAGCTAAGTATGTATCCCCAAAAAATAGCATTGATCATTTTGCATGCATACTTTGGAAAACAATATCCTTCACCCCTGAAAGATATATATATATATATATATATATATATATATATATATATATATATATATATATATATATATATATATATATATATATATATAAAGTAGGTGGGTACTGATAGATATATAAATTAAGTTGATACTGGTAGATAGATAATGTTAAGGGGAGACAGTAGGAAGGAGTGTGTGAGGTGTGTGATAAAGCCACCCACCCACCTGGTTATTGTGGGGCAGGAGAGGTTCCTGGTCAGCTGGGTCTCTGCGGTGCGGGGAGCGGTTGGGCGGCCCACCAGCTGGACCATCCTGCCAAAACAAAGAAAATGGTTATCTCTCCTTGGCACTGGAGGAAGATATTACTTTGTTTGAAATGTATTGTAATATATGTGGTGTATAAAAATAACCATATCTTTAAATTCATGACTTAATATTTTCTAACTATATGCGACACAGGGAGGTGTTGACATATTACAGTGCTCTCATGGTCATACTGTATCTTGTTATCACTACTGTCCTTATATACCTATACAAATTTTAGCTAAATACGTGCAACTTAATAACTGTATTGATTACTAAGTTTTTTTTGGGGGGGATTTCTACACCAAACTGCAACCTTCATGCTACACTCATATCACTTTAATAATAACATATACGAAGGTACCAGGGAATAGTTTATTATGGGATATTATAATGTTTATAACAATATTATCTAGTTATCTATATCTATCTTTATGTCTTTACCTAAAACAATACAAATGAAGGTACAAAGATTACATAGATGAAGTAGTATTATCAGGTAATTTAACTATACGTGACTAGTTCTGCTGAGATAATGATTGCATCTAGCCATCCTCTCCTGTATTAAGGAAGGGTTATGTTAATCCATTTAAAGTTCATTTTTAATAGCACGATTACTGATCCAAATCCTTTATATTACTGCAGCAACGTTACAGGGTATCAAACTTTGTCTTGCGTCCAGATAACTTTTAATCCCTGCATGTTGCGGTCACAGCATCTTACAGGAGCTATAATTATTATTAAATATCAAGTACTGTACTGTAATGAACTACAATACTATGATATATCTTTGTAGGTTGACTATACAGGTACTACTAAAAAAATTATATATAATGTAGGGCTTTTGTAGAGTTGAATTGAATGCAGAATATATAAAATAATTACTTAATTTTGTCTCTTGATACAAGGTAGAAATGACTAATGCATATTAAGGATTAGTAACACTAATGAAAATATACAATTTAAGCCACTGTTATCAAGAAAATTTTATGTGGAAACTCAATAAGAAGATGGATGATTAAGCAGTCTAATTATTGATATTAACTGGTACTATCTATCATTACCTCATCCTTCCTTGGAATGGGGGAATGTTTTCGCAAGGTCATTTCATTTTCAAATCTTGCAATGTAATGCTGCAAAGGGGGGAAAATACAATGAGTTAAAAGCCTTCAGCACAAGCATTCAGAGGGTATCTTTAGTCAGTTGATGAGGTTCATGGAGTCACTCGCCTAAATGCTTTGTTAATTCACTCTCGTAAGTCTCACCTCAGAGTCCGAGAAGGAGGTCATGAGATCATCTACTCGACGAGGGATTTTGGTATCTCCAGCTGGGCGTATGGGTGAAGTTTCTGGGAAAGGAAGAGTCTCATTCTTTGGCCTTCTTACACGATCCAACGAATCTGAGTGTGATGATCTTGAAATGTGTGTTACGTATGTCACATGTTGAGGTGAAGTACCGGGTGGGGTGCGTGGCTCAGGGGACACTGACCGTCCACGGCTGGGGTACGGTGTGGAGGTGACAGGTGGTACATCACCAGGACCGTCAGGACCACCGGGTCCACCTGGGTAGCCTCCAGTGGTAGTCTGAGTTGTTGTCTTGTTGATGGTAATGGATATGGAACCAGGATGACCAGGGTGACCCGGTTCAGTTGGTCCAGCAGGACTACTTGGGCCATTTGGGCTTCCATCTTTGTACGGTTTACCTGGATAACTTGGGTCATCAACAGGATGACCAGGTCCACCAGGTCCCCCAGGACTGTGAGGGCCACCAGGACCATAAGGTCCATCACGTCCTGGAGGGCCACCAGGGCCATAAGGTCCATCACGTCCTGGAGGGCCACCAGGGCCATAAGGGCCATCACGTCCTGAAGGACCACCAGGGCCATAAGGTCCATCATATCCTGGAGGGCCACCTGGATATCCCACTGTGGTAGTGTCACTGCGATTAACGGTGGTTTTAGTAGAACGAGAACTGGAGGCGTGAATGTTGTAGTTGACAACGGTAGAACTTGGCTCTGGTTGACTGGGTCGAACTGGTTGAATAAGCTGAACAGGTTGATTGGGTTGAACAGGCTGGGCAGGCTGAACTGGCTGACCTGGATGACTGGGCTGACCTGGATGACTGGGCTGACCTGGATGACTGGGCTGACCTGGATGACTGGGCTGACCTGGATGACTGGGCTGACCTGAATGGCTGGGCTGACCTGGATGACTGGGCTGACCTGGATGACTGGGCTGACCTGGATGACTGGGATGGCCTAGATGAGTGGAGTGAGTAGTAGTAGTATTTTGCTGGATATATTGATTGTGTTGAGCAGATTGAGATGGTTGTTGTGGGGTTGGTGCCATTTGGAGAGCTGGTGGGGCGGATGAGACGACTCCTCCAGGGGGTGGTGGTGCCCCATCTGGTAGTGGCTGTCCTGGCTGGATGGTATAATGATATGAGTAATGATAGATGATAGGCTGACCCTGTAGCTGTGATGAAGGTGTCGGTGATGGTGCTCCCTCACTTGGTGGGACTGATTGAGGGCCAGGGACGTTAACGTAGTTCAGAGGTGGAAGAGGCTGAACTCCCGACCCACCTGTGTTTCCATAGGTATATATGTAAGCCACACCTGGCTCCCGTGGGGACAGTTGGGGCGGTGTTGGCATTGGAATAGGTTCCTTCCAAGACTGTCCTCCAGGAGACATCTGTAAATTACACTTATTAAATAAAATAGAATTTGTAAAATATTTTCTGAAATAAAATTTCACCTGAAGTCATGCAAATATACACATTGGCATGATTATTGTACAATACTCGTGTAAGAAGGAGTCTCTTGTACGGAATTCCCACCAAAAGTTGGTGATAATTACTATTGACTGACATTTTTAAAAAGAACTTTTGCAGAATATGAACGAAACATTGTATAAGTGTAATAAGAAATCACACTATTGTCAAGCATCAAGCAGAGGTCACTATAGTGGAGCAGACAAGAGTCATCTGTGGAAAGTAAGAGTGCAGTAGTAAATCACTGGGGACGGGCACAACTAATACAAGTTGGAGCCTAATTCAGTCCACAAGGCTCAGTTGCATGCAGCTTATTGTGAGAAGCTACAAAGAATCTAACTCTAAGTTATAAACTATTATTTAGATAAACGTTGAGAAAAATACTGTATTTTATTAAAGTATGTGAATAATGTAGTGGGTAACATATAAGGCTGAATATGGGCCCAGGCCCCATGCTTGGTACTAGCTGTTCTGTCAGCAACCAGAGGCCTGAGTCGTGCTGGTGCCTAGCAGGCAGCAGAAGAGGAACCCGGAGGGATCTGCCTTTAGCTGTCACTCACGTTGGGAGCGGTGCCAAAGCCAGGCCAGTACACTGCACACTGCAGCTGAGGCAGGCGGGGCGAGGACGGCCCACGCTGTAACAAGACAGTCGCCGCCTGCTGTGCGTTCTGTACCAATAAGTGTAACAGTCACTGCCATCAACACAAAGTGGATGTGACCCTATGGTAGCCCCCTACCACACTCACTAGTTACTGCCATCAACATAATGTATATGTGACCTCAAGGTAGCCACCATCACACTGACCAGGCACACAAGTACCATTACTTGCAAAGGTCATGTCAGGTCAGGAATATAATTGCTAACCCGCTACTCCGTGAGATATTAATATCAATAAATAGTGCAGTGAGTTTCAAATGATACTTCAGTGCTGAATTTAGTCAGAGGCTTTGTATGGGAAAATTTAGTACTGATTAACCTAAAGATAAAATTAGTTAATATGAAAGACATGAACTTGTAGTCAGTTACTCATACGCAAAACAATTGTCACAGCTTCTCCAGCAATTTCAGTTTAGTATAAGTAAAAAATTGTAACATTTACTGGGAAGTTTCTGAAATTGGTTAATACATAGTACAGTATACAATATATACAAACAGAGTAGTCATCAGAATGGCATCTGAGATTCAAAAGAAAAAAACCATGGTTGTAAAACATTTAAACAGGATCATTCTCATCGAGCACAACCCACCTCGGCAAGAGTTACTTCTCTGCCTTTACTTCAAAACAATACTGAATGTGTGATCCACACGCTCACTGATCATTATACTGTACTGTACAGTATAAGTCTGAAACTTAGAAAATCTCTTCCATTTTTGTATCTTGAAAAAAAAAGCAACATTTTTATTGCAATTATGTTCTTAATCTTGTGCTTTATTTTTATATAACACAGACTGTTACTAGGCGTTTAATAGACCAGCATAATGAGAGCCATGACCTATAAGATGACAGTTACAGCCACGTGGCCTCTGGCTTCTTAGCTGTTCACAAACACAAAGTTTCTTCATTACAGACTGAATCTTACACTTACACGACAGGACCCCCCCCCAAGAGAAGTTTAAAACAAAATTTACCCGATACTAATACAAATCTGCTGACATCTTGACATCACCATTTGCTACACTTTGGCAGTCCTCATTATCTTTTTACTGAACACCATATTTCTATTCTTCATCATATACTGTGCTCCCTGACTGTGCCATTCTGTATCCCCTGTGTCATCAACCCTCATCCTAATGTTTCTCAGCATAGGCTGCTTCACTTGTGTGTGTGTGTGTGTGTCAAGCCAGTAAGAAGAATTTTTTAAATAGACATTACACATCAGATGTGGTTCTAATCCAGGTATTTTTTTCTTTATTTAGATATTCCAAGTTTCAGTACTGTATTACTCAATATAGTTACATGTATTTATTGTCAGGCAGTTAAATAACTCTTTAGTGAATATCTACTCCCTACATCACTCCATTAAAGTCTGGGAAGGAATTGGAATAGAAAAATGGTATTGAATTCGGTCACAAGTGCGTCATAGGTGTCTGAACGAGGAGAAAGAGAGTGAATGAGCGTACATACCTGAGGGGGGGAGCTGGGTCCTGGTGGGGAAGAGAGGGTGGAGGTGGTGGAGGCTGAGGTCGATGTCTGGTGGTGTTGACGCTGTACTAATTGCCGACGACGCGACTCATCCTCGATACTCACCTGTGAACCAGTGAACATTATTAACACTGACGACGCCAAGATAACATTTGTATACCCCCAACACATGTAAACACAGAGTTAAGAGTTTTACACTTACATAGTTGAATATAAAACCTCTCACTAAATATTTGTAATACCAACACCTGTATGCATCCTAATTATGTTCCCAGTTACAGGTGTATTTAGTTAATATACTGTACTGCTAATCTGATAAAAAGCATTTGTGAATACGAATATAATCCCATAAGTATATTTTGCTGATTAATTATAAGAAATTTTTGCATAATCTTATCTTATTGGAAATGTATGATCACATGAAGACTAGGCACCCCAGTTTATTTCGCCTGATGATTAAACAACCCAACGCTAACGTAATCGACGTTAACAACCTATTTTAATGCAACCATAACCTAATGCTACCTAACCTAATCTAATCCTCAGGTAGCATTAGGGTGCTCAATCTTCATGTGATCAGAGATGACTGTACATTAGAGACGAGGAATTTCAATGTCGTGTTATTTGTTATACTTTACCCTGGACTTATATAATTTACCCTAGACTTATAATTTACCCTGGAGTAATATACAGTAGTATACCCAAGACTTGTGACTAACCGCGGGTGGCTGGCTGGAGTCGTTGGCTTCGTAGGTCTTCTCGAACCTGTTGCGCCAAACGATGCGTCGCACTTCTCCGCTCTTGTCGTCGAGCATCTCGTCGTCACCACTGTTGAAACACGACAACACTGTCAGGTGCTTCTTATCTCTGACTGACGTCTACACACACACACACACACACACACACACACACATACTAATATTCTTTCAACACACATCATATTACTGTATCAAGAGGCACTCACAACACCGGCCCTCTCAACTCTCTAATCAATACCGCGATCAAAAACCATAGATTCCTGACTGACCCACATTCCAACCATTCTAAGAATCATCAACAAATCGTAGATAACTTGTATGTTCACTCCTTGCCAATATTGCATGATTATTATACAGCTAATTTTAATTAAAGTGTACGAAGACAACAGGATACAGTACATATAATATTGCAGTAATACATTTTACAGGAAAAAAGAGAATATCTGCCGCAAAAAACAAACAATAAAGAATGTATAAACATTGTATAACTTACTCATATCTGTTGGTGTGTATGGTGGTGCCGTTGGTGAGGGTGGTGGTCGGTGCTGTACCTGAAGGAGAGTCAACCAGTTAAACACAAAGTACTTAATGATGTTTCAATGGGCTTCGTAACTAAGCCAAGTCGGTCACGGGGTGCTATGATCAACACAAGGAAGATATTAGACAATTAACAAATTTCGTTTTTTATAAGTAATAATTTGGTGTTTACATATTGTAGAAAACCACCATGGTTAAAGGGATAATATCAGAAAACTGTAATTTGTAATATTACGTTATTGGATTACTAAGACCAAATGTTAACTTTGCTACGTGTACGTTAAGTGGCAAGTGACTGGCATAGCCGATAATTTATGGGGAAATGAAAACAAAAATTAATTCATCTGCAACATAATATTCGATAAGAAGTACCGAAGAGCAAGCTTTTGTAAACCCTGGAACAAGCTAAGAAAACGAGCACATAATGAGAGGGAAAATTAAGTTTTGACTGTGAATAGTTTTCACTTGACGAACAAGTTGATAAATGGCACTAATCACCTAAGAGCTGACGAATATGTAATGTGCTTAACGTGCTTAACTATCCAAATGATCAAAACTCAAAATTCCAAACAATAACATTAGTTGCGTAGAGGACAGTAATGGACCGCCACAGACCACTGTACAATTTGGATATTCATGCTGGGACACCGTGCTAGCGAGGCTACCCAAGGGGTCGTTCCACACCATTTAAACAGTTGAAACATGCAAAAGACACCGACACCACACAACCATCATGGTACAAACTACACGAGGTCACATTTTAACATCCACACCTATACACTCACTCACATAAATTTCCTAGTCATAATATGGCGTTCATTTTTCTGTATATGTAAAACTCTCACATAAACGAATGAATGAAATTAAAACATATTATCAAGCAGTGATCAGAAATGAGATAAAAACAACAAAAATATACACAGTACTGTATACTGTACAAGTACATATACTGTACCCTGGCATAGGTAAGAAGCCAGTTCAAAGCGCAAACTTAAAATTTGCAAATAAAAATGTAAAAAAAAAAAAGTGGTGTTACTTTAATTCTCTGAAGATAACACAAGAAAAACACGAAAGCAAAACATGAATAATATTGCTCATTTCATTCCTGAGCAGCAGCCATTAATTGGCGTCCTAAGGGGCTTCTTTAACTAGTTTCTTAAAAATATGTCTGGCTTTCCACGACGTTAAACTCTTTTTACGGTTCTATAATCTCTCAGGCGGATGAGATCTTCCCTGGGAGGTCTCCTTCTATGGGGGAAAGAGGTGATAAGCAGAAGTAGGGGTAAAGGGGAAGGAGAGGGAGAGGCGAGGAGCAGCAGCAGGCACACTCCAGGCGGGTTACCAGCAGGGCCCAGCCACACAGGCACCAGTGCCACACCACACAACACCCACTTACTCCGCTCTTCTTTCAAGACTTTTTGCTGCGACGCACTGCTGCTCTCAGACTTTATGGATCGCTCTGTGTGGGAGGTGGTGACTTGCTTGGTTTGAGTACTGCTGGTGGTGGCCGAAGTGAGGGCCACAGCTGGGTCTACTGGCTGGAGGATAACTACTTTTCTTGAAGCCGTCTTTTCTACAGGAGCTGGATCTTGTTTAGGAGCAGTAGCTTTTTCTGGTACAGCAGCTTTCACGGGAGTTATTTCTTCAACAGGATCCATGCTATCAAGAATAGTTTTTTTAGAAGCAGCAGTTCTTACAAAACTCGCTGCAGGAACTGTGTCTTGCTTAGGGGTGACATCTATAACCTGAGCATTACTTGTCTTCGAAGAAACAAACACTTGGGACGACACCTTCGTCTCCTTTGTTGAGTATTCCTCTTTCTGTTGTGAATCTTCCAACGAGCCAATGAGATAATCTAGTTCGCTGATATTCTTGCGGAGTCGTCCTAAAGTAGAATAATCCGAACTGGCTGTCATGGAGGTTTTCATAGTGTCTGTTCTGACAGATTCCGTCTCACTGGAGTCTGGTGCTGGTACGTGGGTTCCGTCCCCTCCTGCAGGTCCAGGCGGGCACAGGTCAGCTTAACACGGAGATCTCTATTTGCTAATATTTTCGTCTTTGATTAACATTCTACTCTCTTTGTCATTCTACTAACATTTTTCCATTGCCTAACTTAGCCTATTACTAATGCTCTCTTCTATTTTCTCTCGTGGACTAGACTGTTAACTAATATTCTCTTCTGAACATTCTATACTGCACTGTAATTTACTATTCTCTTCTGCTTTTAGATTTTATTCTATTTGCTACATTCTCCTCTACTGATCAGTTAACAGTTTCCTGGCAGCATACATTCTTCACTGCTTACTAAAATTCTCTTTCTCTTGACTAACAACTTCTGTTTACTTCCCCATTTAACAAACACTACACTGCTTAGTAACAGTCCATTGTAATTTTGTTTTCTCTACTAACATCCGCTATCATCTACCATGCCATTTCTCCCAGTCACACATCATGCCAATTATAAAACACTGTTACATTATATCACATGCTTTAATTATTACTTTTCATCAGCAATATTCAAATGTAACATCTCAATGACCAAATAATATTATATGGCTAATACTGTCAATGGAAACTACTGGTATAATTTATGTTGCTCTCACACCATCCACTGGAATAATAGGATTTATTGACTATATTATAACTACATTTGTTATTTTTTGCAGTCCTATTGCCGTTTTAGATGCTAACATTATTTATTGTACACTGTTGTTTCTCAAGCCTAGTCCACAGCTCATGGAAGTCACCAGTTCACAGTATCCTTAAGCATAGTGCGATGAATTTCATACGTGGAATTAAGGGACAGCAAGTTAAGATAGGAATTTGTATATTTGTATTTTAAAGGTGAGCTAATGTGATTTCTGAAAGGAACAGGATTTCTAGGCAGTACAAGAAAAAAGTGATAAACGATACTGTAATGGTTAGTTGTGTACAAGGTGTTGAGTTTCCTTCCCCTTGTCTTCAGGTATTTAGTTCAGGCAGTTGTATACCTTATTGAAATTGACAGATAAAAAAGTTCAATATACTGTTTTATCAAGAGGAAGAAACTTATTTTACCGTAAGAATCATTTATGGATGTTGGTTGAGTGACATGAATTCACTATTTATCTTTTTATTTGATTAGTTTAACTGATAATGTACAGTAACCCTGAGTCTCACTGTGCACTAATAATGAGTCTTTTGAGGGAAACGGATTCATCTTTGCATAGGACTTGGACAAAATACAATACAGTATTAAAATTGGGAACTTGGCTGTCCGTTTCTGTATTTCTCACATTTACTTTTTTACATAGTGCTATTTTGTCATACATGGAATTAGCAACAGTTATTCACTGTAAACTTCTTATTTCAGTTTATAATATCAAACATTAAGACTGCATAGGCATCTAACAAAAAACTAGTATAATGTCTAAGTATTAGCAGTGTGCATATAGGATGACATGAATACTGTACAGTCATTTTGGTCACTATGCCTAAATTCTCTATCAACGGACAGATGTGTTTGTGTGAACCTCTGAGAACCACTCACGAGCTGGTATCCGCCAGGAACCACTTCTGATTCATGAGCTTCATGCATATTTTTTTTTTATCATCAAAGACAAATATCTTCCTAATGTTAAACGTAAAATATCCCTGTAGTCCAGATAACTACCCAGTTATTGTATGGTTAATGTGGACCCACCATTAGTATTTAATAATTATTAATAAAAAATGTCATAGACTGTGAGACAAGACTGTCTAGTCAAAATTTACATCAGTAAACTGAGTTTAATTAAGACTAGATGCTAGGATCACTTAACATAGTATCAACAAGCCACACTGAGTAATGACTCACAGTCTCCCACGTTCAATATCCACACAACCACAAACATGCACTGAGAGACACATTACCACCACAAACAAAGGGTCTTCATAATTATAACCTAGAGTACTACAACACTGTTGGTGGCCAAATTACGAAGTATCCCGTCAAGGTTTAAGGGTGATGTTATTCGTCCATTACCCCACTGACTGTTTCAATGACCTTAACAATTTCTTCAAAGCTTGGCTTTTCAGAAAGGTAACTACAACACCGCTCCTCTCCCAGGTAGAAACAGACGATATATTTAGTGCTCACTGTCCATAGATGGCTGTAGTTAAATGATGAAACCCAGTTTTATTTGTGATGATAGATATCAAGTGAAATTCAATTTCAATTATTGAAGTATTTATATTTTTATATTGTGTTTATATATGTGTGTGAAATATATAACAATGTAGAGATTAAACAAAGAGAGGGGCAACCTCTTGCAATTTGATTGAATACAAACACACACACAGGGATTCCTAGCAGGACAAATAGCACACTATTGAGAGAAAAAAAAAAGAGAGAGTACCCGACCACAGCGCATTAAATTGGACAGTGTAATATATACAGTATTTACAAGGAGGTTCGCCCCTACACCGGTAGCATGTGGGAGGGAGGAGTAAAGGAGGGAGACAGTGATGGAGGAAGGGAGGGATGGAGGGCGTTAACACACACAACTCCGCCTCACCTATACTGGCCAGGGCATCAACCAATTTGTTTGCTACTTTCTGGGAAGCACTGATAACTGAAAATGAGTTGTTAAGTACATGTTAGTTTGGAAAATTTATTTCACCGTGTTTTTGTATTCTTTTTTTTTTCTCATGAAGAACAGTAATCTTGCGTTTCTATAAGTGTACAAAGTGTACAGACAAATTAAAGTGCTAAGAGAAGCAGTAACTACATTGCACATTTAAGAAACATCATAATAATATTATATAATGTGTCTACTTCTCTATTCTACTTTCTATTACACCAACAACAAAACTAGACAATCTCAAATATTCCCGTATAATAATAGCGCATGTTTTTCGAGACGACGAACAAAAAACAAGTATACTTGGGGAACTATGAAGCTTATAATATTTATTTTTGAAATACGCAGTGATCATGCCACAACATGCTAAAAGGCTACGATCATTTACATCCAGGCTTATATAACATTAACATTGTTACTGTACCGATAACGAGCCCATTGTTAAATCATACATGTATATGAAAGGATGCGTATATCATGTGCAGTACTACAGTATTCTGTGTGTGATGACTTTTAGTGCAATTAAGAGGTGTCATCTATTGAGTGCACGCGCAAATACAAATGTCGTCTCTTGAGTGTGTGTGAAACTACAGTACTAGAATACCAGCATATTGATGTGACAAATACCTACAGCAGAAAGGCAAAAGAGCTACCGTACATTAAGCACATGCTTATATTTTAAGTGAATACTGTACTTATAAAGTCATAACATGCTTTAGATGGACTTCACATTACGAATATTAGTTTAATATATATTATTTGTTTTATTTAGGGGGACCTCTGTAAGAAAGGGTCAGCGATATATATATATATATATATATATATATATATATATATATATATATATATATATATATATATATATATATATATATATATATATATATATATATATATATATATATATATATCTCATGGAGGTCTGTCATCAAATTTGTAATTCAGGTAATTTACAATACAGTACACTTTTCAGACATCAAAAGTTATAAAAACGTTGATCCTGTGCACTCTCGAGGCGTCGCAAAAAGAAATTCACTGAAGGCATCTGAACAAACTGTTCACGATTGGTAAATATAAGTTGCTGTAAACAAAATATGTAAGGTCTACGACATAATGTATAAGTTTATAGAAATATTCGCTGATAATGGCTAAACCTATATAATAAAACGCTCACTGAACGTCATCCTATTTTGAAAATGTGTAACTTAGTCTAGCCTAACCCTAACTAATCTATGAAATATCACATATATTAATTGGTTTGGTAGCTAATGGTATGAATGTTACACCAATTAGAGTTAACTGCTAACTGTATTTTAGTGACAGTACACAAAAATATGGCAGCAAATACCAATGGAGACCCTACTTGATTTTAATATTGGTTGTTTAAAGTTATCGAAGGCTATCCAGTTTGTCAGAAATGTGATTCAAGTGATGCAAACTATTTAAAGTGCACAAAAGTTTAAATCACTGACTTATAAAGGCTCCAAGTATTCAAGTATATATGTATGTAGAATAAGAAATACGTACAGTAGAAGGATTGTAAAAAAAAGGTGGAAGTTCAGCAGCGCACGGACGGTAGCATGTGAGCGATCCTTGCTTACCTTTGGTATCCGGGGGAGCTTGGGGAGAAATCTGTGGAGGTGACTCTGGGGCCAGCGATGGCGGGTCCTCCAGGCTGCCAGCATTCATGGAGTTGTACGTTGAGTAAGTTGATTTCATGATCTTCTTTTGAAAATGATTCGTCTGAAAGATGAAATCTCTATTATTACTAACCGGAAGTAGAACTGCTGTAAGAATATATGATGGAAATTGTCAAATTGGAGGTAGTAGGATCTTTCACACATATACGAATACTGCACTCAGATGGATGATGTCATGTGGATAACAGGTTTTCGTGAAATAGCGATTTTTTTTTAAATATTCAACGTTGATAAAAAAGGCAATCATCTTTTTCAGGTTACCAAAATAATGTTGGAACTATAATTTAAATCACAATCAGGAGGCAAGGTTGAACGTAAACAGTAGTAAAACCTACATGTGGATGATGCTACAACCCGGAAGCCAATACCGTGCCAACAACTGCCACATCACTCAGCCAAGCAACGTTTACTTTGTAAATACGTGCCTTTTGTTAATTTATTACTGTATTATAAAAAGAAAAAAATGTAATGAACCCAGCACGTTGCTGAGTACGAGACATCAGCACATAATTATGAAATTGATTAGTAGTGGTGTAAATAATAATTGAATATGAATAAATAAACTTATGGATTCAGATTAATCTTTGTTGCTAAACTTACTTAGTTTGAGTTGTCACCCTCAATTATGAGTTTTAGGTAATTGAAAACCAATCTAATGTGTACGATTTACCAAACACACCACAGGGATGCATCTGATGTGGAGCTAAGTTTATTTCCTGTCGATGCCCTTCTGCCCTACATTGTAGGCGATTTTGTTAAAGTATACAGTAAATGCCCTAACAGCAAGTTTTAATCTGGAACGATCAGTGTTACGGTCTTCCCAACCATCCTCAACTCGGATGCAAACCAGTGAAGTGACTTACCTTGCTGGTGTCGCCGGTGTCATACTCGTATTTCTCGGTGACGACGTGGGTCTTGTTGTCCGGGGAGCAGTACTCGCGGCGGCTGTGTCTTACTTGACCTCCATCCTCCACAGCCAAGGCGCTCCCGCTCCGTGATCCCCCGCGAGAGGCACTCCTTCCCTCGTTGCGGGACGAGCTCCTGTAAAAATGAAATCATCTTAGAATTCTTATAATTCAGGGAATGTTCGTGTTTGCTGTACATGTTTTTACTTGAAATCGCGTTATATAAAAGCACATTGAATAACTTAAAAATAATATGGAAAAATACCTGGATATCATTTGTATGAAGTGTAATGAAGACAATTTTCTTCAGATATTCAATGTCAGTAAGTGTGTGAAAGACCTCCTGAAAAAATGTGAGTGCAGTACACTGCCTTAGTTAGGCTATATGAAGGACTGCTGTCATCTTCAGAGGTGTAATCCAGCGATTTAGATTCTGAGAAAAGTATACTGCTTTAGAGACAGTCTAACCTAAAGAATAGTTTAATACTATAAGGTTCGGTATCTATTTATGCTCGTAATGTCCTCGTGCAGGTGTTGTTAATACTAGACTCATCAGTCTAGGATAACTTTGATTTTGAGCAACAGTTTCAGAAAACATCTAATATCAAGAAGACCAAAGAGAACAACCCTTGGCACATGAAGAGAATAGGATTGTTTATGATGTGTTGCTATCTCAAACATGCGCTTGTGTTGTTGAAGCGGTGCAATGGCAACACGACCAACGAGAACCTTATAAACATACCCAAGATGCAGTTCTCATGCATTTGGTTCTCATAAAGGCTTTAACAGACTGACTAACATGCCGAACTAAAATCTATGAAGCATCAACTACTTATTCCTCTACAAATTTGTGAAATCAACACAAAAAGCTTCAGTTATGCGTGAACATACTCTACAGTAAATCTGCGAATATGCTAATCTACTGTACAGTGTTTCCTTCAACAGTAAAGCGCAATCTCCCATCCATAATATGGGCTGTGCTCTAAATACTAACCAGTTATTTTATCCAAAACGCCAGTATTTATATACTGGTGTCAGTTTATAATATGTTAGTTATGATTTCGGTTGGTGATCTTAGGAAGTATCAAAGATTTCTAATAGTCGTATCATAACGATAATTTGGAGTTGCACAGACTTAAAATTAAAACACAGTAATCCCCTTCCTGCCAGTTGCCACACAAGGTTAGCAAGCCAAGTCAGGGCGGCAGCCACCTACATGCTATAGGCTACACGCACACTGTGGAAGGATCTGGCTACTGTGTACAAAGTTACCTGAAGATTTCCACGAAGCTTTCGGGTCTGTCGTCGTATGAGGAGGTTCTGAGGCAGGAAAGGGAAAACAGTCCGGGATCATTGCTCTGGCCTCTTCATAACCCCACTATGAAACTTTATTTACATATAATTTAGGGTTAACGAAGTGTTGCTTGTGCTAAAATATCTACTTACTAGCAGAAGGAATTTTTAACTGTCATCTTAAGCGAAATGCCAAGATTTATTCTACGCCTATTGGGGAAGATTAAGAGACCGTAAAGACGAAAGCTGAAGCTAAAGCGTAAAAGTTTGATACAGGATGCGGCCAGGGGAGGATACAAGATTCGGTAATTATTGACGAGATACCCATCTGCCGATTTTTCATAGAAATAGTTTTTAAAATGCTGCAATTTTACTTTGTTTTGCAGTGGACACTCTTAGTTTGGGCAAATGTGTTAAAAAGTGGTTATTTCTAAATTGAACGTAATCTAACCTTAGTTGATAAGAAAAACAAGCGGCAGAAGCGTTGTACGAAGGCCGCTCCAACCAAACCAAAGAAACCTACCTAATTTATGTAACTTCCTAGCCAGGGGGCTCCGTCCCCCGGACCCCCCCTCCCCTCCCCGGCATATTAAACAGAAAGAACTTACCATGATATGGTATAATTTTACGTTTACACTGAGTGTAGGAGAAATCGAGCGTCAATCAGGGTGCCTTACCGATTTATCATTGTTCGACGAAGTAGTGTCGCTAATGCGAGCCTAGGGGCCTAATTATCTACCAAACGAAACATTTGCCCCAGAAATGAATATCATAACAGAACTCGCCGATGAAAATACAGTAAAAAAAAAAGAGACAAAACAAATAACACTGCAGTGGGTATCTCGTCAATATTAACCCAAAATTGAAATAAAGAATAGGATTAAAAGACAAAGTCATGGTGATAAAAATATAATCTTAGAATCATCGAGATGACGAGAGATTAAAGTACTGAAAAGGGGGACTATCCAAAGTGTAAACCACAACAGACGGCAGAGTGACACGTACGAGGCAAGAATAAAGATAATGAATATGAAGAAATGGATCCAGTAATTTGATGTGAGGTGCAAGGAAAAGAAGGGGAGGAGTCGGAAAAAAAGCACGAGAGGAGCAACCATGGAGGATGATAGTAAACATGAAAGTAAATTGAATAAGAGGCCAAAGTGCAACAGACAAAAAAGTCAATACAGTACATTGCTTATTTATTCTACATCTAGTCTATTGCATAATTAAATTGATGATTCTTCGATAAGCAACCAAGCAAGCACATGTGAGGAGAGAAAGACCGTAGCTGCCTGGCGCCCTGCCAATCCATATACTGTACCCATCCTGCTGATGATAGCATTCTGCCACTGTAAACACCGGACTCCAGTCAACAACAGCATTTCAGGGAAGATTGCAGCTATAGGACAGCTACACGCGGTTAAATGATTGCCCAACACCATAAATAAGTAATGAATATCAGCAGTATAATTATAAAGTCACAATGGTAAAATAAATAAATATTATTCTTAGTTCCACACTTCCGCGTCATTGTCCGAGTGTTACACCCGGAGTTTTAATCACGGGGGTCGTCGTATTTACAAGAGTTAAAAAATAAAAAATGTGTCGCGAAGGTCACCGCAACGACCCCACAACAGTGCTTGACGGGGAGCGGTCGAATTAACATATAATATTGGAATTAATTAATTTTACCGCCACACCCCGTCAAGCACTGTAAATGCGGTGTTCTTCGCGACTAAAATTTTTTAAAACGCCGTCAACGGAAGAAGGTGATTAAAAACTCCAGGCGTTATTCTCATGTCATTTAAATTAGTTACTGAAGTGCCCGGCGGGTAAGATCTATACAAGAAACAGTTACGATCAAAAGAATCAGATTCAATCACACCCCGGACATGGTTTCCTTCACACGATTCAACGGGAAATAAACACACACACACACACACACATATATATATATATATATATATATATATATATATATATATATATATATATATATATATATATATATATATATATATATATATATATATATATATATATATATATATATATATATATATATATATATATATATATATATATATATATATATATATATATATATATATATATATCCTGTATATAATAACACACTATTTCAAAATTTTAAGAAGGGAGTTGTGTGCCATGAATAGAGAACCTTAAACAAGTTATACTGTATATGTCATGACCTGATTAATGTAATAAAAGAACAGTTACAGTATCAAATTGTAAGATTTGTCACAGTAAAAACCCACATAAAAAACGTAGTGCCGGTTCTCAGTGTACAAGAGTGGCTCTCAGAAATTACATGTAGGTTAACCCCAGCGACCCTGTAAAACTTTCGTTTATTCGTTACTTCCCCACTGAAGGGTCAACAACTTCTGAACTATTGTCAGTAATTATCGTCAACAGTCACGTCAGAGCGTCATTTGGTTAACTGGATAATTACGCACGACACAACATGTTAGCCTGGGAACTTGTAAAGGCTGATTCTGTGGATTTTCAATGTGCCCTCATCCATCCCCGTCCCACAAAGAATAAGGATAATAACAGTAATAAATTAGCGAAGATGGTTTAATCGAAAACTCACAGCGCAACACTCCATTTAAATTAAAATGACCGCCTCCAGCAATACTTAGGTCAGTGCTCCTTCTCCTAGCACATTTATAAATTGTGTCCAAAAAAGCTCTCTTTGACACTTGACTGATGAAAAGCGTCAAAGAAGAAATATGGTGGCACTTGAAAGCGTTTATGTCAACATGATATTATTAGCACCCCAACTTGTCAATATTATGCCATCATATATATTTATGGCCTTGAATACGATTACCACAAACCTCAACTGATTTTATGGCTGTAAATGTGAAAAAGTGTTGGTGTTCGGAGATCATTAAAAAATCTTTTGATAGATAATAAATCGCATTATCACGAGAACTAGATTGCAATATCTGAACTCTTGCCTTTACAGTATTTTAATCATTGGCCAAGTCCTTCCACAGAGAACTTAAAATTATCCATGTCCGACCATCTTGAATATTTTATTTATGATTCTGGCCAAAGTGCTGCTGATGTTATCAATTCTGTGGACTATCTTTGGCGACAGTTATTTATAAGGACAAATGATAGACATACCAGGATTTTCACAAATATCAACCAGTGTAGACCAAATGTTAACATCTGAGAAATGCTACAATTTTCACTTAATATGAACTACGTTTATTTTATAGATCTATAATAAAACACGTATATTAACCTAAGTGTCCACACATGAATCCTTCGTCACCTGGCGTTTAGGCAAATTAAATATATTTTCACAGTCGTCGCGGGATCGGGGTCAGGTTGGGATGAGACTCTAGTCTTCCCTTATTTAATCCCTTTGTGTTAATTGAACAAATGTGTGGTGATTAATAGTGTCATCTTGCATAAGCCGAATCTAACCTTAATAAATATGAGGTACGGAGCTGCCTCAGTACTGAAGGAAATGCTCCGGAATAATAGTCCGCTAACGCTAGAGGCCTTCATACTTTTCACCATCACTGATATATATCACTGTCAAGAATCACCATAGTTTGTCAACGTGTTTGACAGTTGTGAAACATGCCCTACCTAAACTTATTACCCAGTGGCCTAGTTCCCTATACCAGTGTTTATATATATATATATATATATATATATATATATATATATATATATATATATATATATATATATATATATATATATATATATATATATATATATATATATATATATATATATATATTTTTTTTTTTTTTTTTTTTTGGCCTAATTTAGCCGACCGCCAATTTGCAGGTACTGGGTATTACCTGAAGGAGGAGGCTAGGGTGCTATCGGTGCGGACGTCCGGAGTCGTCATCTCAGCGTCGCTGCCCACAGTCGTCTTAAGATCATCCAGCATCCGATCTGAAGGAAGAGTGGAAAGGCGGTATCGTAAGTACATGAAAATCATTGGCAGGTTTTTTTAGTGCATTTAATAAATAATGTTAAAAAGGTTATTTTTGGTAATGTCGAGTATTGTACATACAATTTTGTCCCATGGCTTAGGAGCGAGGTAGATAATACTTAGAGCTGCATACCAACACACAGAGGGGGGTCTGGTATGTTATATTGACCACAGGTTAATCTGGAAATGTATAATTCTCATTTTTGTGATTAAAACAAACTTGTTGAATTATTTAAATCAGAATTTTAACTATGATGGAAAAGATTGTGTCTGTTTTTCCGTGTGAGTCATGGGATGTAGCACGTTGAAGAGTGTGTTGGCAATACAGGATTAGTGGGCAGTAGTCAGCAACCAGCAGCCGGCGCGTAGGAACAGGTTACCTTCCCGGGGGGTGTACGATGCTATCACCGCCTACCCTCTTCCCCCGACCACCACCCTTATTGTTTACCTGTCTACTACTTGCTATAAATATAACCCGTGTCCTTCATCGTAATTAAGATGGCCAAATTCCTCGGCAACCCTTGGCAGCTTAACATAGTGTTAGGGGGGAAATGTAGGGCGTGTTTGTCTATGAATTCCATCTTGTTGGTTACATACCACTGATGTTTAAATTCCCCATTCAATTTCGTAGTACAAACAAACACAGGTACATATAAACCCTAAATAATGTGACAGTTAACGTAACATCCCACAGACGTTTAATAAACAAGATTGAGCAACGCACAAGACCCACACACATTGCATCGCCTAGCCCAACCGAGCGTGGGTTGCCATCACCAGGCTAGGCTCCATATATGGTCGCGACCAGCATGGCCATATTGGTTAGATTCTGGACCAATTATGAGACGATGGATGTTGTCGAGCTAATGGAATCAATATTATGTTGTATAAGAATATGGGCAGTGAATGTTTTGGTTGATAACATGATATTCAAGCACGAGGGATGTTGATTAGTTGGAGTAAGGTGAGTGGTGGTGTACCCGACCGCTCACAGTCTGGAGGTGACCAGCACAATGGTACACAGGCTTACCCAACACCACCACACCTGCCCACACTAAACACCACCACACCTGCCCACACTAAACACCACCACACCTGCCCACACTAAACACCACCACACCTGCCCACACTAAACTCCACCACACCTGTCCACACTAAACACCACCACACCTGCCCACACTACCACACCTAAACACCACCACACCTGCCCACACTAAACACCACCACACCTGCCCACACTAAACACCACCACACCTGCCCACACTAAACTCCACCACACCCCACACTAAACACCACCACACCTGCCCACACTAAACACCACCACACCTGCCCACACTAACACCACCACACCTGCCCACACTAATTCAACACCACACCTGCTCACACTAATACAACACCACACCTGCCCACACTAAACACCCACACCTGCACCACACCTGCCCCACTAATTCAACACCACACCTGCTCACACTAATCCAACACCACACCTGCCCACACTAGTCCAACGCCACACCTGCCCACACCTAATCCAACACCACACCTGCCCACTAATCCAACACCACACTGCCCACACTAACCTAATACCACCACACCTGCCCACACTAACCCTAACACCACACCTGCCCACACTAACCTAATACCACCACACCTGCCCACACTAATTCAACACCACACCTGCTCACACTAATACAACACCACACCTGGCCACACTAAACATCACCAAACCTGGCCACACTAACCTAACATCACCAAACCTGCCCACACTAAACATCACCACACCTGGCACACTAACCTAACACTACCAAACCTGCCCACACTAAGCATCACCACATCTGGCCACACTAACCTCACACCACCAAACCTGCCCACACTAAACATCACCACATCTGGCCACACTAACCTCACACCACCAAACCTGCCACACACTAACATCACCACACCTGCCACACTAACCTCCACACCACCAAACCTGCCACACTAAACATCACCACACCTGGCCACACACCTAACATCACACCAAACCTGCCACACTAAACATCACCACATCTGGCCACACTAACCTCACACCACCAAACCTGCCCACACTAAACATCACCACACCTGGCCACACTAACCTCACACCACCAAACCTGCCCACACTAAAGACCATGCCAACAAAGACGCTCGTAATATACACACAATGAAGACTATATTGGTAAAGTATTAAGCAAACATTTTTAACAATAGTCTATGTATTATCACTTCATTGAAACGTTACATTAAATATTGGACTTTACATTAACACCAACTACCTGTTCAATCCTCGGTATATTGGCCAGATGAGTTAGCATGGAGATAATTCAAGCTTATTGATGCTTAACAGGTGTATAATTTATCTAAATTATATAATTCTTGTTCTTTGTAACTCGGCACACTAAACACAGACTCTACTCATGCAATCAGGTATCACAACCAGCTACTGATTCGTCGATACTGAAGCGAAGATATAGAATATTTGCGATCCCTAGGTCAAGGGTTCTATTTAAAGACACTCTACATCGTGCCTTCACCAACTGTACGACAACCGAGCAACTCATCTGGCAGAGTCTGTGGTCGTAAATTTATTGTGACGCAACTTTTGTTAATTAAACGTTGCGATCACAGCATTAGTCTATTTCTGACTTTTACAGCACCTGAAAACAAACAACCAGCCACCTACTTTGAGATTCACAATAAAATTTAATATAATATCGCTCTGCCAACCTGTGACGGCCCGAGGACCTAGCCAGGGCGGCCTCGTAAGACATGATTGGTGTTTCTGATGACGGCATTTATGATGTACAGAATAAAAATAGGGTGAGTACGTTGGGTGGGAACTTGAAAAAGAGTGTTATTTTGAGAGAGAGAGAGAGAGAGAGAGAGAGAGAGAGAGAGAGAGAGAGAGAGAGAGAGAGAGAGAGAGAATGTTTCCTGTATTCTAGGAAAGGGGGTATATTTTAGTGCAGCGTACCAGGTGTGGTCATGGGAGGAGGGAACATTTGAAGTGGTTATAGTCAGCTTCAACAGCCTTGTACTGATGGTATCTCTCAACCGTCATGCAGGTGGTCCACTATCACACGATCCAATGGTTATCCTATGTTCGTCATTTTTGTTTTAGGTGCTTCAACTGTTAGGATTAAGTACCTTTACTAGCCTCAGATTTTACAACATTCATTAAAAAAGCCGCTTCACTGGTCGGTTTCAGATTTAATGAGTAATTTATTGCCAGTAAACCATTATCACCAAACCTGTATACAGTGGCGCAGTTACGAAATCTTAAATATGTGACGCAGTCTAAAATGCCAAGTTAACTGAAAATTGGATCTAACGTTAAATAAACTGAATTTGTCCACAATACTGCACCAACAAAGGTAACATATAAAGCTCAAAATCTCGGAAAATACTGTGAATGATTGTCGTTTATACAAGAATAAGATAGCATTATTTTCAAAAGAGAGGCACCGTTGCACTTGGGCTAGCTGGCTGAAACTTTTATTGCGTGGTGGTTGGTGAGACGACTTGGTCTGGCATATTCCGCCATATATGTGGGCCTCACCCACCTCCCGCCTCCACCATGTATGACCCCCTTATAGTCCTTGAGTCCTCACCACCGCCACCAACAAGAACAAGTGGCTGGTGGAGTGTGGATCAATGCTGTGTATGCTGTTAGGTTGAAAGACTAGTGGTATTATGTATTCCTGGAACCTGAGAAACACACACACTGGGTGATAAAGAGATAAGAGGCTCATACACAAAAAGCGCAACCTTGCACCGTCCACTTGAACCAACCTTTAATTCAGAGTTAATTTGAGAGAGTGAACACTGAACATTCAGTCCTCGAATTTCTTTCAGTTTTCTGCGATACAGATGGACGGTTTAACGGCAATCCAGGAAAATCAGTCAGTTCGAATTCACTCGTAAAATATTGTATTAGAAAACGTAATATTTAAAATGTTACACATTCACACGGAGGATAATTGCTTAATAATATTTTTGTACTAATTATTATTGTGTGAGACTTTATACAGTAACAGTCATGTGCTGAAGTGATTTCGCACCAAAGTTAGTTTTCTCCATGTTCAGTTTACTCAAGGCAGTTCTGATTTGTGTTCAAGATGAGAATTTTCATTAATGGTTTTATTATACAGTATATTAGACATTCTTCAGATTCTTCACATTGTGAATTTTCAGCGTAAAAGTCCCATGAATCAGGGAAACAATGTGACTGGTTAAACGAACCTCAGTCCTAACAGTCCCTAAGTAAACCAAATTTAATCATTGAATTTGGGGCTAATTCCTATTGGGTCCCAGTCTTAAAGGGCACCATCTTTAGGGACCCAATCCCAGCTGGCTCTGATTTTAATTATTAGGTGGTGGGTCCCGTTAAGACGTGGACACATGTGACCTACAACCAGAAAATATCCCCCGGGCCAAGTAGGTGGTCGTAGATTACAACACTAATTTGTCAGCGAATTTGATGGTTGTGAATGTTAGCTACTTTGTCTGTTTAATAAATGATGATTTTTAAAATAGTTTACAGAATTGAAATCAGCCCTGATACCAGAAAACAGTAATACCTCAGCAGGATTTTGAATAATTCTGGTCCTCTTGAATACATCGTTCTTCAGTCGTCATATAATATTATTTTATCTATTTGTGGATTATGTTATGAGCTTAAGAGAGATGTCATGAGGGTCCACATGCCTCCTCTCATGGGTGTCGCTAACTCATTCGTGCTGTTCTTTGGCGACTGTTGTCCAGTCATCTAGGTCGTTCAGCAACAATAAGAATCACGAACTATTAATTATAACAAGAGGAACTATTGTTGTCGTCCTTGATACAGTAAAGTGGTCGAGGGCAGAGTGTAGACCTTCTATACAATTAAGGACTGCACAGATAAAGAACCATTGTTAGGCTACTGACAAAAGATCAGTAACTTTCG